TGCTGAAACTCACACTTAGCATGAATCACACAGTGATCTACACATGCCTCTTCCCCTGCTGATTATACTGCAACTGGGCCATGGGAAGGGTGACAAAAATGATTCTGTTCAAGGCATAAGAGCAGACCCTACCAGCAGCTAACACTGAAGGGTAAAAACAGAAAGCAAAGGCATGTGGGCTTCTACAAAAAGCTGGGAAGAGCTCTCTGGGTCCATCTGGCCCAACCCCAGCTCCAGCAGGGACACTCAGGCCCATATCCTACTGGGTTTTGAAAGACTCCGGGGAGGAGACCCTACAGCCTCTGGGCAGCCTGTGTCAGGGCTCTGCCACATGCACAGCACAGCAGAGCTGCCTGGTGCTCTGAGAACCCCTGTGGTCCAGTTTGTGCCCATGGTCTCCTGTTGTGGCTCTGAGCATCCCTGAAAGAAGCCTGGCTCTGTTCTCTTTGCACCCTTTCTTCAAGTATTTATAGGCACTGATGAGACCCCCTGACTAAGCCACATCATCACCAGGCAGAGCAGTCCCAGCTTTCTCAGCCTCTCTTCACAGGAGGGGTGTTCTTGTTCCTCCATCACCTTGGTGGCCTTTGCTGGACTTTCTCTGGTATGTCCGTGTCTCTCCTGTTTGGGATCCTGCAACACGAGAGACGTTGGCACAGTGAAGAGAGTCCCCTTGCTTCAGGCCCTCCTCCAGAGCAGCATAGAGCAAATTGTTTAGAGCCCTGAGCACTCTGCAAATTGTTTAGAGCCATGAGCAGTCTGCACTCTCTGGAGAGGGTGCCGGCCTGCTGAGCTTATCCTTGGCCTGGCACCTTATCTGCCCCTTCGGTGTGACTGATAACCTTTTCAAAGGAGAGGCCAATGACAGGCTGAATAATTCTGTTTGTGTGTGAATGCTCCCTGTGCAAACACTGGGGTCAGCAGGGGAACAAAGAGCCACCATCTTCAGACAGCTGTGACAAAATGAGTCTTTGAATGAAGATTGCAGCCCTTGAAAAGCATTGATTTTACATATAATGAAATCAAGTCTGTGGGGTTTGTTTCTGTTATCAGCGTCCTGTGACTCTGTAAAAGCTCATTATTCCCACTATTTGTGGAACCAGTGGGGCTTTCCTTCTCCACATGACAATGATTCACACAGCAATGCTTTTTGGGCCTATGCCTTTTAAGTATGCCTGCACGGAAGCTGTAAGACACCAGGGTAGTATTCATGCCTGAAAGCCCATGAGGAGATGTTCCCAGAGCCCTATCTCTTTTCCAGGCTAAACAAGCCCTGCTCCCTCGAGCTGTTTTTGTAGGAGAGGTGCTCCATCCCTTTGAGCATCTTCGTGGCACAACCTGGTGCCAAGAAACTGAAGCACTTACTCAGGTCCTTCTTCCACCTCATCAGGTACCCTGGGCTGCATCAACAGAGGGACGGCCAGCAGGGAGAGGGAGGGGATTGTCTCCCTCTGCTCTGCCCTCATGAGGCCCCACCTGGAGTACTGTGTCCAGGCTTGGGGTCCCCAGCACAGGAGGGATGTGCAGCTCTTGGAGCGGGTCCAGAGGAGGGCACAAAGATGCTCAGAGGGCTGGAATTCCTCTCTTGTGGAAATAGGCTGATGGAGCTGGGCTTTTGCAGCCTGGAGAAGAGATGGCTGCCGGGAGACCTCACTGTGGCCTTCCAGTACTTGCTTAAAGTACAGCACATGCATAAAAAACTGCACATATGTGATCAAAATTACATTCATTTTGGAAAACAATGTACAGATCATTTAAGTGCTGAAGTTTATTTTTAACACTCAAAGATTTAGCTTTAACGTTGTGCATCTAAGCTAGCAACTGCCTATTTTTATTTACTGGCTCACTACTGCATTCACAGTAACATCCACAACTGATTTCTGTGAAGTTGTTGGGCTTTTTACAGCAACTCTCGTTTTGTATCCCATTGGGATGTGGTGTGTTGATTCAATCCCATTACACGTTGTTGCTGTGTGACAAAGGGCAGCAGAGGGGAAGTTTGACACAGTGGCATCTTACATGGAAGTGCAGAGGAAGCAAAGGTGTGTCATTGAATTCCTATATGTGAAAAAAATGGCACCCCCTGACATTCATCAGCTCTTGCTGAACATTGATGGAGATCAAACAGTGGATGTGAGCGCAGTGAGGGGTGGGTGGTGCATTTCAGCAGTGGTGACAGAAACGTGAAAGACAAACCACATTTTGGATGGCCATGCACAGCTGTCACAACATGAAATGAAGAGCATCTCAGCCAGCTCCTCCATTTGAATCAGTGGATTACAACCAGGGAACTGCGTACAGAGGTGAGTATCGGCTTCAGTGCATTAGAAAAGGTGGCAACGTTGGAATACCGCAGTGTGCATGAAGTGTGTATCACAGATGTTTGTATAGGAGTGGACAGAACGCATATGTAAGTTTGTCAGGTCTTACCGGACCACTATGAAGGTGAAGGTGACAGTTTCCTGGATCACATCATTACCAGTAATGAGATGTGGTGTTACCACTATGAGCTAGAGTCAAAACAACAGTGCATGAGGTGGTGACATGTGAACACTCCATTGAAGAAAAAGTGATGTGAACTTGCACTGTCTTTTGGGATCGGAAAGGAGTGATCCTTCTGGATTTTCTGGAACCCAGACAGACAAGCCATCAGCTCTGACTGCTACATCGTGACGCTGACTGAATTGAAGACTCCAACTTCCAGAGTCAAGCCAGAGAGCAAGACAAGCTTTGTCTTGCAACACAATAACACCAGGCCCCACAGTAGTTTGAAGACTGTGGAGCACATTGCCTGTCTTGGGTGGACTGTGCTGACACACTCAACACTTAATCTGTGTCTGGCACCTTCTGACTTCCTGTTTGGACCAAGGAATGTTGGATAGCGTGGACAACATTTTCCTAGCAACAACACCATCACAGCAGCTGTGAAATGGTGGGTCGTCTTTGCTGGTGCAGATTTTTATGAGTGCAGCATGCGGGCCCTTGGTCATTGCTGGTGAAAATGCATAGCTAGTGGTGGTGGCTATGTTGAAAAATAGTGTTGCGTAGCTGAGAATTTGCTCTATCAGTGTTACTGCACTCTTTGCATCTGTTGTAGTTTCCATGGAAATAAACAGGGGGCATTGCTTTCAGAATGACCGACATGCGTGTATATACATACAGATTTATATGTATATAAAATATCATAGACAAAAATACACTGAGACACTAATAACAGAAATACTCGCTTTTCTTTCTGGCATTAATTTGGATCTTACCCATGGGAACACATGTACTCCTCTGTGTCTTTGAAAAATCAGCACCTGCACAGTCTGAAGGATGCTGCTTGTGGAATCACACCTATAATTAGGTCCCCACTGAAAGAGCAATCCAGATCTTAATGATGAAACAAGCTTATAAAGTCAGAATTGTATTAACAAAGGTAACTTAACAGACATTAAAATGTTGCAGAATCTCTGCATGTGGTAGCTCTCAATGAGAGCTCAGAGGGGAGCGGGAGGCACAGGACAAATAGCAAGTAAGCGAATCACTGATTTCTTCAACGTGATCCATATAATTTTCACTGCTACTGAAAATCCAATCTTAAAAAAATGTTGGACCTTAGTGAAAATTGTCTCTGAATTAAATTTTATTACGACATTTACATTGATTGTATGCACTAGGTTCCATGATAAATTAGCAAAAAACATGCTGGGATTGCTGGCCAGGAGTAGGGCTATGGGCCAAATCTTCTGCCCTGTAGTGCTGCTGCTAACGTAAGAGTTGAGAGACCAACAGAAAAGATAAATATCCTGACGAGTTTTTCCCCAGTTACTTCCATAAGCTTCAGATGACATCTTAGTTGCTTTGGAAAGACAAACCAAGCCTGATGTATGAAGATCACACTGACACTGTAGTAGGGCATGGGAACAGTGGTTTGTTAGTCCACTCTGGTTTTAAAATGTATGTGTATATATATGTATTTAAATACTCTACAGGCTTGATGCTGTGTATCGTGCACTCTCTGAAGTTGCATGAATTTAAATATGGACTTGGAATAAATAAGGTGTGGGGTCCCGGCCTTGTCTGGTACTTTTTGCAGAGCCCTCACTTTACAGTGAGTGCATGGAGCACTGAAGATACTGCTGCTTTTCTGCAGAAGAGTATTTAGAAACAATAGCTTCTAATCCCTGCAACACCTTCTTAAAAAAGGGGATTCATCTTCCAGGGAACTTTGAGACCAATAGACTAGGAACATGCTATTTGGGCCATAATTTCGGTGAAAGAATCTGCTTTGGAGTTTGTATGGTTTTGTTTTGGTGCAAAGGAGGAGCTGAGTTGAAACTCTTTCCAACTCTGACCCCACTACATGCAAGCATCCTTTTAATACCAGAGCACTGACTTGATGATCTGCAAGGTCTTTTCCCACCTGAGCAATTCTACGATTCTATGATAATACACCTGTGTCTAGAACACGTACTGTTCAGTTAATCATACATTAACACTTTAAAAACAAAAACTTTGGTTTTTTTTAAAGTAAAATATGGACCTTGGGAACATGCTCTGGAGTGAGTAGATAGCTGTAAAAAGACCAATTACTTTGAAAACAGTCAATTATTAAGTGTATGTCCTTTTGAGTAGAAGGACATCTGTTATAGAGGTGACCAGAAGGCTGATGGTCACCTGAGCCATTTCAACATGGCCTGTGAGATGCCCAGGAACCTCCGAAGGAGCCCACATCCTGCAGTGACCTCCATCCAGCTGCCACATAAAGGCTATGTCAGCCAGCAGGGCACAGTTGTTGCCGAACTGGACTCAGACACGGAATGAGTCTGAGTTCCATGCTAAAGAGGAGCTGCTATATCATCATACGTAGGCTGTTCGCTTCCTGATTCCTGACCTAGAGGAACATCATGATTTCAGAAGCGCACTGTAGTTTACTCTGCTACACAAGTCAGCACATGGGTGTTGCACCAATGAGTTCTCTTCCAATAAATCATTACCATATATGCTTGGAACCATTATTGAAAGTTTGATGTCCATGCCATTTTTAATTAACAATTTTGAAACAACAACAAAAATAAACCCCAAAGTCACACACGTTATGGACTATTTATCTGCTATTTCTTTCTTTCATCAAAGCTGCTCCTGCATTACAAAAGCATAATAAAAATCCCCATATTGTTGAGGACTAGTAGACATTTTTTCTTCATTTGCATAAACAAGAAAACCCAAACAAACAGAAGCCCAAGACCATCCAACCCTGCCCCCAAAACAGTTAAAAAGTTTGAAACTTAGCTCAAGATTTCTCTTAAAAAAAAACCCATGTCTTTCAGCCAAACAATACTGCTAAAGTAATGTGAGCGCTTTGCTTTAAAAATGTGCTTTTAGAGTTCACAGAGAGCAGCAGACAAAAAATAAGTCAGCCATGAAGCACGTTCTGATTTTTAACTATCCTTTGACGGATGGGTTGCTTCCAAAATTGCTTAACAAGGAAGGGGAGAAAAAAAGTTACAGGCCCACATTTTAAAGAGTGTCAGCTGCATAGACCAAATGTTGCTAACTCGCTGGCAGCCTTACGAGCCGCTTCTGTCATGATCTGAAACACATGATTCAATTAATGCAAGGTACATATCTTTGTAGTAGTTGACAAGGTTGATAACAAGGTTAACAAGCGTTTCGCCATTTTCTTGCTTGTTCCTTTTCTCTGGCAAAAACAGCTGTGATCACTCAGCAGGTCCTAAATAACCAAGTCACAGAAAACAAACAAAGAAACCATTTTATATTTCCATGTGACAAGAATGAACAAATAACACGATTTGGGCAATCTCTTCAGAGCGCATTAGTGCCAAATTCACTATGCGTTACACTGGACAATCAAGTTACTTGAGGACTTAAACAACCCAGAACCTATTTGAAAGAGCACAGCAAGCCAAGAAAGGCATGTGTGGAATCCAGACTGGGGGTGAGTCTGGCAAAGCCAGCTGCTGTGCCAAGCCAACACAAGGTCAATTACTTCATTATTTGCATACTACAGTCCAACTTGCATTGTCATGGATATGCTCTGTCCTTAGGAGGCAGTGACAGTTTGAATTTATTCTTAGGAAACCAAAACATTTCACTTAACTGTTCAACATGCGAGATTTTCATGAGAGAAGTAAATTTAGTTACATTTCCAACAGGATTCCAGAGCTACTTTACTTTTTTTTTTTTTGCGCATTCGACCCTCAGAACCAAACTGAATATAAGGCTAAAAGGTTTAAAAGATTAACAGAGTCAATCTTTTAAAAAGTTAAAAAAAACTTTTTTAAAAAAAAGTTACCAGAAGCCAGAAGACAACAATATAGCACCTGAAAATGGAAGAGTCACACAACATTTTTGACATTCATGTCTTGCATAGACAAATGCTTATTCGTTTTTTTCCCCCCAGACAACTCTGCTTCAGAAAATAAATCTTAAATCAACTTTAATTACAGTTAAATGCATGTGTTTCCATTTTTTTCAAAATACATTATTTTAATTTCCTTGTTAACTGCTACACGTCTAATAGTTTTAAGAAACTATCATCCCTTGGAAAGACTGTTGCACCCTTTTGGGCTGTCAAGTTCATAAAGTCAGGAAGCTGAACTGCCTTATAATTCTTTCTCCACATGATTAGAGAAACGAATCGATTCACACATTAGATCTCTACACCAGAAGAAGGTCCATAAACCTGAAACTACTTTTACAGCATAGGAAATGAGACCTCTAGCCCTTCACAGCAGCTCTGTCTTCTGGCCATATTCTGACTTGAAACAACACGTGGCACACACCAGGTCCACATGAAGTTCTTCCCTTCCAACCCCTTCACCCATGCACTGGTTTCCAGTGGGAGAAAACATCATCATGCAGAAGGTTGGAAGGTTCTCCAAGAGGTTCCTAATCATGATCAGGGACCATTAGAGGGAAGCAATTCTTACACAGGCAAACGCAGCCCTTATGGAGTTTCCCTGAGGTTAGCAGGACTCCAATATGACCCAATACCCAGATGTAGGAAAGTCTCTGCAGAGCCAGAGCCATGCCTATTGATTCTAAATGTTTTCCAGTACGATGATTACTTTTGTTATATTTTTTGAATATATTTGAAATATATATACTGACCAATTTGAATTCGCTTACCAAATGCAGTGCTTCTAAAGTTGAAGAGAAATGAGAAATCCAGAGGGATCCAGACAGGCTGGAGATGCGGGACCATGTGAATCTAAAGAAGTTCAACAAGGCCAAGTGCAAAGTGCTGAACTTCATCTGGGGCAATCCCAGGTGTTTTATACAAACTGGGCAAAGAACCCCTTGAGAGCAGCCCCACAGGAGAAGGACTTGAGGGTCCTGTAAACCAGAAGCTGGACGTGAGCCAGCAGTGTGTGCTTACAGCCTGGAAGGTCAGCTGTGTTCTGGGCTGCATTAAAGAAAGGTGGCCAGCAGGGAGAGGGAGGTGATTGTCACCTTCTACTTGGCTCTTGTGAGGCCCCATCTGCAGCACTGCGTCCAGGTCTGGGGCCCCCAGTACAGGAAGGACATGGAGCTCTTGGAGCGTGGCCAGAGGAGGGCAATAAGATGATCAGAGGGCTGGAGCACCTCCCCTATTGAGACAGGCTGAGGGAGCTGGGCTTGAGCAGCCTAGAGAAGAGAAGGCTCTGGGAAGACCTCATTGGGGCCTGCCAGTATTTGAAGGGAGCGTATAAACAGGAGGGGGAATGGCTGTTCACATAGCTGCATAGCAATAGGACAAGGGGGAACGGTTTTAAACTGAGACAGGGAAGGTTCAGGTTAGATATTAGGAGGAAGTTTTTCCACACAGTGGGTGGTGACACACCGGAACAGGTTGCCCACGGAGGCTGTGGATGCCCCATCCCTGGAGGCGTCCAAGATGTGGCTCTGGGCAGCCTGGTCTGCTGGTTGGCAACCCTCCACATAGCAGGGGGGTTGAAACCACACGATCTTTGTGGTCCTTTTCAACGGCAGGCCATTCTAGGATTATGAGATCTGTTTGCTTATCACAGAAATCTTGGGACAAGTGGTCTAAAACCTCTTGTTTTGTATTAATGATCTGGATTAGATTGGAAAAGATTTGAAGTTTCAATAGTTGTGACTGCAGAAGAATAGCAGTGATTTAAAAAAAAAAAAAAAAAAAAAAAAACCACAAAAAAACAAAAAACAAGTGAGCTCTTCTGTTGCCTACAAACTGGGGACAGGGATAATTATACAAGAGTTTAATGTTAGGTTCCCTATAAAGACTTTGTAAATAACTGTCTAATGTAAACATACACTTCTCCTGGATTACGTTGCTTTGTTTAAGCCAGCAATCTTACACATCAAAAAAGGAAGAACACAACCTCCACCCCCCCCCCCCAAATTGTAAAAAACAAAACAAAACCAAAACAACAACAAAACCACACTTCTATGCAGCTCGTACCTACTACAGAATTCTCACCAAATTAAAATACAGAGTTCCAGTTCCATATGTTCAGTAATACCTTTGGTTATATCGGTAAACCTCTTTTGTTCTAATAATTAACTGTCTCTAGTTGGACAACAGAACTATTTCATGTTCTTCCCTTTCATAGGGGCTTCTGTTAGTTTCACTTTCTGGATATTTATATCAAGAGAAGGTCACAGTATTCTCAGGAGAAAAACTGCAAGGAGTGAGGTGTGTGGGAGGAAGAAGGAATGGAGAAGCCAAGCTGGTAACATTTTCTTTCTGAAAAAATAAGCTTTCAGAAGTTTGCAAGCCCCAGTGCCTATTTTCAACTGAGTTCAAAATGGCAGATAAACTGTATGTATTCCAGCCAGCTGTACAGATACTAAATCATCTTAGTCGTCTTAAAAAAGACAAAAAAAGCTGAGTTCTGCTTTAGTTCACCCTTCTCCTTTCACTGCTGGCTAATCACTGCCCTCCCAGGTTCACTGCTGTACTGTTTCCTTGCCTGCCTTGAAGCTGGTGGGGAAAGCTCTGCCAGTAGACCTGGAGGAGCAACTTGTCATGGAGGGGAAGGAAGGAGACAGAATGGTTTGTTCTTCTAGCATAAATTTCCTTCTAGGCCAATTTGGAAGAACAGATTTTACCATGGCCCTGTATGCACTGAGAAGTTATTATTCATCTGCCTACGTGCTACAAGTACAAAGATTAGAGCCATTATTAAATATTAACAAGGGCAACTGAATAATCCCCTCACAGAAACGAAAAGCGTAGCCTGTTACATAAAGGGAAGTGCTTCTGGAGTCAAAACAAAGACGACTAAGAACAGGATGTGTTTCTTGGTTCTAGTTATCTCTGGCATCCTTCATAGGAGCAGTAGGTTGAACGTTTCCAGAGGAGCGTGATTTGTACATGATAGCAGTCTTGTAAAATATTTTAGGGTTCAAATGGATTTGAGAATAGCTTTTGGGATAGTCATGCTATCTTTTGTCAGCCATTTGCTATGCCCTTTAACAAATGCAGTGCACGAGCAGCAAAGCAGAGAACTTAAGAAAACCAAAATTGTTTAGAAGGTACCACTACAGCTGCAGCAGATCATTACAGGATTTGAACTTGGAAGCAAAATCCTCAGCCAGGAATAAACGAAAGCTATTGCAGAAACATCACGAGTGTTGATTAAGTCCCAACATCAGCTTTTCAAAATAGCTACCAATCACTTAAAACTAGCATTATTGTACATGTATGCGTACCAGCGATCCTGGCATTTCTTTCTGAGTTTTTTTTCATACCAATTTAAACCAGCCTTGTAATGCAGTCTTTAAAGACCTACTTCCAAGCATTTAAGTATATAAAAAAAGTACATGCTTTAATCCCACAGAAATCAATGGGACTTAAAGCACATGCCTGAGTATTTTGGAAAGCAGAAATAAAGTTCTCAAATATTTGCAGAGTTCTGCTCAAACACGATGAAGATTCTGCAAGCTAACATCCTCTTCCCTGTCATGTTAGAAATGCAACTAGATTTGGTTTTAATGAGAAAAGATTACTGGCTTTGATCCAACCCAACATAGGGACAAAGGGACAGGGTTAAAATGAGAATATTGAGCATACCGTGACTCTTGGAGTCTTATTCGAAACACAAAGTTCCAAAAGTAAGTGTTCACAGATAAATAGAGACTCCAAACTTCGGGGGGGGGGGGGAAAGAGAGGGACAGGGTGAAATTAATTGTTACCACAAAACATATTTTCATTGCTAGTTTTTTGTTTTTAAATGACATACAAGGATCTTCTACTCTAATAAAGCCTGCTGTATACTCTGGTGGCGACCTTCGGATTTGAGGAAATTTTATATAAACCCATAAATTATTTCTTTTTGTAGTGGGGGAAAATATTTTCAATACAATGGAGTGATAGCAAAATTCATAATGATGCAGTACACAACTTTTAACTTTTCAGAATCGGGTCTACAAACTATAAGCTCTTAAATTTCTCCAATAACTGGAAATGTTGTGGGTATTTGAATTTACTTACCTGAACAGTCATTGAGCAAATATTTTCAGATACAAGTCTAGATGCAGAGTTAATGGAATTTGAATATTACACATAATATAAATCAACGTTTGACAATATCAAAACCCCATCAAACAGTGGGCCCTTCTTATGCTATTATCAAATATACGTTTACTCTATCACTGTAGGATAGCTGAGAATCATAGAGTGCTACCGTAGGCTCGTTTATTAAATTTGGTCAGTTTTCAGACCTTCCAAATAGGAATACTAAACATTTATTTTTCCCCTCTGGAAATTTTTTTTTTTTTTTTTAAACTCCTGCATAATACAGTTGTCATCCCAATTCCTCATGAATTTATAAAAATATTTTTTTTTATCCAATAATCCCGGTAAGGTAAAAATAGGAGTTTTTATAGCAAATGATAAACAGGCTTATGGACTATGAGAGAAACTAAACTCATTGAAGTTGCCATACATTCGCTACTGAATCACACATGGCCTTTTTCTTTGTGTGTGTGTTGCTGTCCACCTCAGACTAGCAGTTTTTAAGGTGCAGAAGCATCTTTCAAATACACGCATCAAACTTAACGACCAAGTTCCTCACATGCTTTAAATTTACATCACCTGCCCATCAAGAGCTGTGTTAAATAACAGCACTAATTGAAACTGCATAATTCTTTAGAAATGGCAGCACTTCCAATTCAGAGAATAAAGGGGTGCTTACGTGGTTCTTTATATTACTAGATAATATTTTCTGAAATAAGAAAATGAAATGGAAAAAAAAAACAAAACAACCACATTTGAAAGAAGTTGCTGCACCTGCAAAAACACTCTTTAAGCTTACTATGAAATACAAAAAAGTGCACCCTTCTATATCTACATATAAAACATATTAGAAATAAAACTTGTGTAAAATGTTTGCTGTGCAAACTATAAAAACAGTCAGTCAGTCCATTCTTTTTCCTAAACGTTGTGTCACACTCTCATGCTTCCTACTGCAGAGAATCACTGTTATCCAAAACCAGCCCACTGATATTTGTCGTTGAGAGATCTCCTCCATCGTCTTCACCGCTGTCTACGGACTCATCCTCACTTTGCCCCGCCATCATAACTTGCTGAACGGCCAGTGTAGCACCATCGGATGACAAGGACTGGAGACTGTCTACATTCATGTTTACCGGGGCTGTAATTGTTACAACAGCACCTGGAGAAGCACAATCACACAATTTTAGCTTCTTTCTTGGTTTCTCAGGCTAAGCAAGGCATATTTGTATGTAGTAGAGTTTATGATCAACAGGAAGAAAATCCAAGGAACTAAATGAAAATAAAAGCTAAATAACTTGTCAGACACTTCAACGTTAGGAAATGCCAGAATCACGTTGGTCTAGAATCTTTAATTCATCTGTGTTCTGGATACTCATCAAAGAAATCTCCAATCAAGTAATCACAAGATCATTTCTGCAAAGTACTCCAACTTAACCCATTGCAGAAAAATTGGAGTGTTCATAGAGAAAACGTGACTTAAATTGATAAAATTGTTGTCAAACCCAGCAGAAGCTGAGGAAAAAAAGTTGCTAAAACACTGCAATGAATAAAGCAGCAGGCTGCAGGAATGTGAGGACTGTCCTGAGATTAAAACAGATTCAATTTAGGAAAGTGAAATATTATTGGATCTGATGCTACGGAAGTTACTGCAGTCAAATTTTTGGAGACTAGTCTATTTCTCTTTTTCACAATGAGAAATTTGAAACACCTGAAGCTTATATAAAAGTGAAGATAGCAACGGGGAAAGGAATGTGAACAGATTCACAACAGAGGGGGAGTTGTGAAGCTGAAGGGACAGTCCAGTACTTCTAATTAAACAGAATGCAGCTGGTGTGTCTACACATACTGAGAGAACTTATTTACACATCTACCCTTCCTCCTACTGTTTCATAATTTCTGAAATAAAAGCAAGTGTCTCACTGCATTTATTCCAATAAAATATCCCTCCCAAAAATAAACTGAAGATGAAAAAATGACATTCTTGTTACGTTTTTCCAAATTAAGAAGAGTCATGCTGAAATATCAAGGAGTTTCTTCCACGAGATGTATCAAACTCTCCATTTCTGTTATAGAGGAATCAACTTCACTTTCCGTGTTCTAACTAGTTCTCCTTACCATCTGACATAGTGAGCTCATTAGACTGCTGCTGAGCAACTCCTGATGCAATGGAGTCAGGCCAGAACCTCTGAACCGGTCTGTTCTGAGCTGTTTTCTTCTTTGTTTTTGGAGTTTCAGAACAACTGGAATCCAGCATTGGCTGAAGAATTCGTCTTCTAGCATTGATAAACCTAAACACAATCAGTGGTAAGTACTCGCGAGCTGAAGTTGGTTAACATTCTGTCTCTTGGATTCACAAAGTATGCAGTAGGAAAAAAACAAACAGAAGTATAAAAGCTGCAAAGCATCACTTCTCCCTTCCAGCTCAGTCTGACATTCTTTTTAGCATGTAAAACTAGAACTCCTAGAATACTGTCATCCTTCAATATTAGCAAACTAGCTAAGCAAGAACTCCTCTCATTTTGCTGCTAAGTGTTCCCCCCAAAAAAACCTTACTGACAAAAATTCTCCAGACAGCATGACAAATGTACATTTCAAGACCTCATTATAAGCTGAGCACCAGAAAAGTTGTTGACAGTACCATTCAGAAAGCTGACACTCCTCTTATTAGAGCTCACCTAAATTTTATCCCTGTCTAACCTAGTTAGTTTGGTCTGATTTCATTTACTCCATTAAGCTCCTCCCTGCTTCAATTATTTGAAAGGCTCACAGGTTTTTCCAGGCCTGGTGCCTGATCCAGGAGACACTGCTAAGCATATTTTTCAGAAGGAGGTAGAGCGGTGCTGTCAGATTCACACAGCGTAATGCAATGCCTTGTGGAAACATCAGCCAAATCCCAGTACCATACAGCTCTGTTACTTCCACACCATGAGAACAGTTATACTGATGCACTTATGTAACCACTGTACTGCCACTATCTGGCATATTTCCCCACTGAACCCTTGTGCAGTCCTGCAGCCAGCACCATTTTGAAATCACTACAGTGATTTTAGGAACACAATACCATGAGTAGAATAGGATGCATGCTGGCATCCTCATTCTTCTTCTGCAAGACCAGGCTTCTCACCTTAAGCCTGTAAACCCTTAAGTTTAAACTTAAGACATACTACATACTGAGCTGCAAACTACAGTGGCTGAGATACTGACACCTTCCATTTGGGCACCATTGTTTAGCAACTGTCATTTGGTAGAAAAGTGGAATGAAGATCTATTGACAGTAACAAACTGTAAAATATGCAGCCATAATCACATGGGGAACACTCTTCAGAGCCTCGGGTCACTGAATTCCTTGAATCTTGATTTTTATATATATATATATATATATATATATATATATATATATATATATTTATATATATATATATATATATATATTTATATATATATATAAATTGAAATCTTGATTTTTATATATATATATATTATATATATATATATATATATAAATCAAGATTCAAGATTCAAGATTGAAATCTTGATTTTTATATATATATATATATATATAAATCAAGATTCAAGATATATATATATTATAAATATATATATATATATATATTTTAATATAATTATCTTGCAGAAGATATGCAAGTACTTCCATCTCTTCAAGCGATAGAAGAGAGTTTAATTCTTATGGCTGCAAAGTCTTCTGAAGTCTTTATATAACTAAAGTGGCAGAAGGATACAAATAAGATACTTGTGTATCAGCACATAATTCTAGTCCTTAAACATGGAGCATGGAACAGTAAGCTCAACTCCACATATCCAAGCCATACTCTTAATTACTTCTCAATCTTACAAGCACGCAGAGACAAAAACAGAGAAATTGGAAGAGTTTTCAGTCTTACCAATTGTTAACTTGGAGTAGTGTAAGATTTGTTTGTGCTGCAATCTGTTTCTTCTCATCCTCTGTTGGATATGGATGCTAAACAAGAGAAAAAAGCAAATAAAGACACAAGCTTCTGTTTCATTTCCTCATCAAAAATAAGGACTCCTTTATTACAAGTGATTAAAGATGCTAGACTAAGGTCATCTAACTCATAATGAACAAATTCAAGAAACCTCACAAACTTTTATAGATAAAAATCATTTAACAAGTGTGTTACTATGCGAAACTGGTCTTATCTTTGAAAATATGCACTGTATCATTGAACTGTTGATGCTTAATTCAGCAAGAGAGATTCTCATGGCTGACAATCTTTATTAAACAGCGTGATCTCTGGGCAATAAGCATGTGATAAGATCTGATTAGTTATGCTTTCTAAAGGCACTGTCATATGAGAGTACTGACAAGCCTTTTCTAGTTAAAATAAGCTACTCTGAACTAAATGGATGAAAAGAGTGGAAAAGTGCTAAAGAAGCACACAAAAGAGCTGCTAGATGACTGAAAATACCAATATTAAACACCACAATATTCTTCAAGAATAAATATTTATGCAAAGGCAGGACTTGTAATGCAGGCAAGAGTAGGTAGCAACAAACTTGGTATGCATTGGAAGTGTTGTTGAAAAGGGGAAAAGACAGAAAGCTTGAAATTCCTCTAAAACAGAAACAAACAAAAAACCCCTCAAAAAAACTCACAGTTACAAATAGAAGTATTTCTTTGTGTGCCATAGAGCAGGGCCAAGAAAGCACTACATTCTCAACACAGTGAAATGAAGAAGGATCCCTTTTAACAACATTAATTGAGCTCGTGGGGTACAAATATAACATGATTATTAAAATAATAATGACATCAGCAGATGGAACTGCTCCAAATGACTTCAGAAAAAACTGAGCTGGGATTACACAAACAGTAAGTGCACCTTCCCTATGAAACAAAATTATAAAAGACCACATGGAGTTGCATAAAAATCTTTGACTCCTGATCATGTTCAGTCCTTACCCCTATGTGCTGAAATAGCCAAGATCTCATCACGTTTGTAGCGTGCTTGGGAAGAACTCCTCTTTTATTTTTTGATGAGCCATCATCTTGATGCAAGATGCCTAGATCTTGGTTTAATTGCAACTGAAGCTGCGTGTATAATTTTAAAATAAGAAAGTTAGCATAGTAATAGCAGTATTTTGCATTAATATATGTTACTTGGAGAAGGAATGAAAAGAGATTAGGAACTCTGATTCTAAAAAGCTACTTTATTTGCTAGGGAAGGCTTACAATAGCAGCTCACCTACAATAGCATTCCAAAACATCTTTTTCAGGGAATACAAGATATGAGATTTCCAGATAATGCAAATTATATATATATATTAATTATAGAACATTTCTGTTTTAAGAATTACAACTGTTTTCAGGGTCTATATGTGATCTTGTCACAAGAGCCAAATGATGATTTGCTGTAATTTAGAATAAAATCCCTCCATGTACTAAATGACAGGATTCTCTGTACTGATCCATGCAATGTTAGGGTTTTGGCTGACTTTTCACCCTACCAACTCACTTGCACAAGTGAAGAGTGAAGAGCAACTGAAAAACCCCATCCTGAATAAATTCACTGTGTGCAAGAACAAGCAATTATGGAAGCTGTAAAGTAGTAAAGATTTAGGTCTTAAGCAAAGAACTTAAAATTATAAACATTAGAGTTGCAAACCATGGTATTTAAGGTCCTGCTAAATAAATTCATCTAAATTTTCAAAAAGTAGGATGATATATGCAAAAGACTAGTAAGGGGAAAAAGTTCTGGCTACCATCAAATTCTGAATTCACTTCACAACACTGTTTTCCTAAAATTTCAGGTTTCTTTCACAGCTTTGCTTTCTTTTTCACTTCTAGAGCTACATCAAGTCGCTTGCACATTGGTTATCTGAACACGAGGGGATACGTTGTTAAGTGCTTAGGCAGAGATAATAAGAAACAGAATATAATTGTCTGAAACGCAATCTCATGCAATTTATAACTTATTCCAAATCAGGTTTTTCAAACAATAGGGAGCAGTTTCTTCAGGCCAGTCATTATGTCTACGTCTGGTATGAAGCAAGATTTAAATATCATTTCTGAACTAAGTTGAAGTCATCAAATTACAACAAGCACATATTTTTGGCATTCTTTTATTTGCAAAACAATGTTTCACTCTCTAAGTGATCTGTCTGCATATGGAGGCTTCATAATGAAATTTCAATAGTTATCCACCAGTTTTTCTTTTCTACATACAGAGCACTGTGAAACACTGAGCATTTCAAGAGGTATATCCTATAATTGAGATACAGGAATACATACAATTTCACAGTGTTGGTGGTTGCCATCTTAAGACGATAAATTTCTGACAGCAGCACAGCATTACACAGCAACATTCAAATCTAACCTGCCATAAACCCAGTTCAACAATTAGGAACGCTATAATCCTTGTAAAATCACAAGGATGTAAAATCCTTGTAAAATGGTATTTAATTTAGAAAGCTTTTTATTTGGCTGGTTTTGTTTAATCCACGTGTAAATACTTTTTTTTTTCTTTCTTTACTGATAACAGAAAGGGGGAAAAATACATACAATGTTTAAAATGTTTAAAGTATGAAGTACGACGTCTGACGTCGCAAGGCAGATCTGCTTGGGGCATCATGCCCTATTATAAAATTTGTAAATCCTATAGTGTATCACATTCAAACCCAAACTGTTGAAAACAAAGAGATTCATCAGAACCCTGGAAACTGTTTTGTGAAGCTCATGAAACACACCTGAGAATTCTGGATTCGAATAGTCCCAGGTGACAATGCTTGTGTCACCACTTGGCCTTGTGGAGTGACCACAGTAACAGGCTGATACACTGTCCCTCCTGAAAAAACAAAACATTTTGGTAAGTAGAAGCCCCTAAATATTCTCTTTAAACATAGAAACGCATCATCACTGTAGACAATACCACACTTCTGACAATATATCAATTATTTTAACATACCACAATCTATTCCAGCTGTCATCAAAGATGCATGATGCAAAAGCCATCAGCTGAGCAGCACCTAGATATATAGGTCAACTATGCGTTCAAATGCTACCTCCATACAAAATTAACACAACTACTTGGACCTGAAGGATTTCACAGCCTCCTAGGGATAGTTCTAGACTGTACAGAGCATGAGATGGCTACTAAATGCAAAAATATCCCAATCTCTTAAGACTTAGCTAGTGTTGCACAGAAAGATCTGTTTGTACTTTTACTTTGTACTTGAAGTGTTTACTATTGTACTTGAAGTGTAACCTCCACTCACACATACCTGGTATACACAGAAATTAAATCGATATTCAGAAACCATAAAGGCACTCATATTAAACCAACAACTTTTCAGTTGTTCTTAAAATCTAAACACGTGAAGAAATACTCGTGTATTTTTTGTAACAACTATAAAAGGACCCATAATAAACAGCAAGGTGCCAGTTTTTCTTTAGTTGTCATACCTGCTACTGTTGCCATAGTTACGTTTCCCTGCTGCAATGCTGATGCTGGCACCATAATCCCTTGGGGACTGAGCGTGCCTGCAATGGCACTTGGCATTTGCTAGAAAAATAAAACAATTAGTTGGTTGAACTTTTTTTTTTCCCCAAGGAGATAAAGCAGCTTGTGTCATTTTAGCTCTAAAAATACATTTGGAGCTTAAACACAGGATTAGCTTCAAAGGGAGAGACTTCATTAGAAGTTCATCATTTACCTACATTAACTTTCTCATTATCACCCATCATTATCTTTGAAAATCTTCATGAATGCAACTGTTAGAAAAGATATTAAACTATATGCAGTAATTATAGGAGAGAAATGATTCTAGTTATATAAATACTAAGAAAAAAAGTTTCCAAAGGCACAAGGGATAAAGGACATACAAAATGGATCCTTGATGCTCTTATTACAAGCATCAAAGCTTCAGAATTTTAGTTATTATCTTAATTCCTTCCCATTTCAAAATAATTTATTAGATATCTTGGATGCATAATACATTTGTTCTGCTTAGGATAATTCTTATACAGTCTTGACCTTGCAAATGCTAATTCATACATCTTCAGGAATTTATAATTTCTGCTGTTACCAAAGGTAGAATTTAGTCCCTCCTGTATCAACAGAAGTAAGGCTCTAAGAGCCATACAAAAATAATCCTTAGAAGGCTTTTTTTTTCCTATTTGATTTCAGACTCGCCTTTCCACACTTCCACATAAAGCCTAAGTAAGACAGTAAACTTTAAGAATCATTGGGGCCTTTTAAAAACAGATAGCATCAGACACATTCATAAACCTGAGAAGGACCATCCCCTACAACACAGATTTAATTGTATTTGAAACACACCTGAGATTGCACGGGTGAATAAGGACTTCCAGGCTCTCCACTTAATAGAGTTTCACTGTTCATTTTTGTCTTCAGGCAGGCAATGTAGCGACTACAGAAGTCCTTGCAAAGCTCATTAACCTTTTCTAGCTCAAGCAGATGAATACGAAGAACTTGGATTGCTTTTACCATCTAGGGAGTGAAGGGGGGGAGGAAAAAAATTGAAAGTAACTGTTAATTTAAAAAATATTTCACTGTGAAATTTAAACAAACACTACTTTCCAGGAAGAAAGACCGTCCAATTAATACAGAGCTACTAACTGCTGAATGCTGAACTAGACTTGTCAAGCTCTGATCATTATGCTCCTGAAATGGCAAAGGAATGTGTTTACATACAAATCTGTATCATCACTCTGCTAAAGTAAACTGTGATGTAGAGGAGAAAGAAAACACGACTACAATATAATCTTCGCATCTGTCGCATGTCAGATCAGACCTCCTCACCAGCCTCTGCCTTCCTAAAAGTCTGTCATCTTGCTCAGCAAAGCTTGAAGCAACAAAACAGTTTTACTGTCCAACAGTTTTGAAGTACCTGTGCATTTCTATGTCAAATACAAACAACTCTGGGGAAGAATCTCCTGAGTGAACTGACTGTTTTTGAAATAGAATGAGAGAGCACTGAAACCAACTGACAAATCCATGCTTACACAAAAATTAAAGAAGGGCAGTAGGTATGTATGCTGAGAATACTTATGCTTACTGCAAGAAAAAGATTCCTAAGTTTGGGTAGCTAGCAGTATTTCATACAGCATAAAAATAGCATAGGTGATGGCAAGGGTCATGGCAGGAGATCAGAAGCTAAAATCAAATCCAGATGGTCTAAATGTTGATGATGCAGTAGGAAATCCTGGACATTCAATTACGCAGAAAATTTATTGGCAAAAAAACTTTTTTTTTTTTTTTTTAAATATAGTGTGCCACCCCCAACATTTACTTGCTGTGTTAGAGCTCAAAGAAAAATATCCTCCCATTTTATGAATTTAAATAGATCGCAGCCTCGAAACATAATGCAAAGCTTAATTTTAACATTATTTGGAAAAACATGTCATACATAAACAGTCACAGACCCAGCTACAGCAGTGAAGGCAATAACCAGAAAAAATAGCCCAAGTTGTCCTCTTATTTTTAAGTGAAGAAGCTAGCCAGGAGCTGAAGCAGTCTTTACTCAAAGCAACTGGAGGAGATCAAGGCAGGCACTTATGGGTACACCTCCTTCTCCCTCACGATGACTTCAGCTTTCATTATGACGGACATTTTTCCTGTGTTTATTTATTTTTTTAAAAGTAGAAGATATTCCTGTTGTTTGACATTCACCCAACTGAGAAAATGGTATGTTAAAATAAACACGGGAACACTGAAACGATAACAAAGAAGGAAATCTTATCCCCTACTAAGGGCTATAAATAATAATAAAAAAAAAAAAGAAATGCAACTTTAAAGCACAGCTGCAGGAAAAAAAAAAAAAGTCTGAGCTGTAGACTTGAAACAATTAATTCAAATTAAAATCTGGTAACTCTGACGACCTTTGACACCAAAACCCTTTGAAATCCAAAATGCAGTGGCCCAGCACTGAGGTATACAAAACAGCATCTTCTAGAGCAGCCCTCAATGGTGGTGGCCTTTGAAACTGCATTTAAGTACCTTTAAACATAATCAAGTTGAACGATGCAAACTTAACCAGATTTTAACACAAAACAGAGGTCATCTTTGCTTAAACATAGTCTGCTCCCTTTAGAATTGCTAATGATTGCCCTGTAGTGCTTCAAATAGTTTCAGAGACCAAAAGCCTGAATTATAAAATTGCTTACACATTGTGGAACAGCACAGATCACGTATATTAGCCACACAAAGATTTTGTTTTTAACCTCTCCCATCCTCCTTCTGCTAGGCTGGAACCAAAGTAACAAAAATGACTTTGGGCACACATCATATTTGAGCGCATTCATGATTGAATTACTTTTGCTTTGTAAGAAGCTTTTGTTATTTGTTTTTTTCTTAAACCATCACCCAAATTTATATTATTTATGTATCAGCATTTGCTTGCAGGAAAACAAAACAAAATCAACAAAAATTAGAGCTAATTCAAGCTAATGGTTGGTATCTAACGTGAGAATTATACTAGTATCAAAACTAAGCATGAACCAAGGATTAAGTAACAACAGCCAGATTTCTATAGATCCACCTACAGTCAATGCTACTTTTACAGGAAGCTGTGCTACTGTGGTTAGAAAGGCAAATAAAATTTGTAAATATACCATGTGTGTCACAGCAACTGTGGCATGGGTGAACCAAGTGAAATTTGCTGACTGAGGCTCCTACGATCCTTCAAACTAAAACAAAAATTGCAATAGCAATATGTTATTCAACCCCCTCTTTTTTTATTTTATTTTTTAGAATCATAGCTTGAAAGTCTACAAAAAAACGTTTTTGTTATTTAGTCTGCCATACAACTATTTTATAAACCACATGATCCAGTCTTTTCAGCTCTAAGAAATAAACCTGGAGCATCACTTCAGAGACACGTAGAAAGACGTAAGGAACCATTAGACATATGGATACTGTTGATATTATTGTACATAAAAAAGTAAACTATGTTCACATATAAACATACTCCATCTGGAGATGCCTTTAGCCCTAAGATGCTTTGAATCATGCCTTTGTCCTATCTTTTCAGTGCCTTGAGTGTAGGGCACAAAGGAGAACAGAATACACTACACAGCATGTTAACCATAATCCCCAGCTCACCTTTGTTCAGTTAAAATGCACACCAGTGACATTTTATGGACTTCAAGGGACATAGCACGGGCACGTAGAAAAAAATGTAAGTGGACAACTCATCTTAAAAATGCTGGTATAATGATGATAAGTAATCTTCTCATTTCAAAAGCAACTTAAATACATCCATTCATTGTTCGTCTACCTCCCCGAGCAAATTCCCACATGGGGCCTTAGGTCTTCAGGGGAGGAACACAAAGCCTGACAGAAGGGACATTCAGTCTTCACTTCTTTTATTTTGATAACCTCTCTTGCTTACTGAATCCACAGCTGTGAGATCAAAGGTCTGAGAAAAGTTGCAGATGTAGGAACACTTTTTAGAAATTCAAAAATGTGGTTTGAGCACACAGAGAAAAAGTATAGAGAATATCAAAATGACATCTCCTGGCTTCATCATCACTACAGGTTTTCCTGACAGAACTAAGAATTCAACAGGATAGTCTTTCAGAAGAGGCTACTGAACCAAAAATCCTTACCCCACACGAAACAAAAACTCAAGGGTCTTCAAAAAGGGCAGTGTCCTGTTCAAATACAAAAGTGAGAGCATATTTAAGACACTGTATTTCATATTGTTTCTAGGCTTGATATAGCTTTATTTAACCTGCTCTGACCTCACAGCTGCACCTACTTCGTGCAGGAGGTTGCACTACTGACCTCCTGAGTTCTTGAGACCAAATCAAGTGATCAAACATGAATCACCCTATGGCCCTATGAATGTGGGGAAATGAAAAAAATAAACGACAAAATGAACAAAATACTCATATATGGCAAGAGTTAACTCCTAACAGAAGCTACACAAGAGATAGGAACCCTCCAGAAGCAACTTGATGTTTGTCCTGGCTGGATTAACAGTAAGCAACAAAAAAAGCATTACATTCTAAACATCTCAAAGCATAATTTAGAAAACTCTAGAAATGATTTGTAAACATTCATGCTGAACAACCCACCCATGTAAGTTACAAGAATGAAAGAAGGCTAAAGGAAAACAAAGGGAAGATGGCTCATTGTTCTGTTAGCAACTCCAAGCCTTGTTTCAGCTGTGAAAATTAGACAGAGATATGAAAGTGCAAGGAGTTTCAAAGATGCTACTCAATATTATGAGCAGTGTTGAACACACTTTTAGAAAGGAGAAGGTACATTCAGGAACATCTGGCTAGTAATACAGACCAATAAAATCTGTGGTTCTTAAGAGTAAACATCTCTTCAGGTGCTGAGTCTGACTGAGGTGTACATAAAATAATGATCCAAAGATAAGGAGGGAGTCAAAGCTCTCAGAAAGAAAGCAGGCTCCAGACTAGCAAGTTAAACATAAGAACTCTCTTCTACTTCCTTCCCACCATGAATAGTATGGGAAAAGTGGAGGTCTGATACACTTCTTGCACCTGATAGGCACTTAAATCAAGTTTCAGATTTTCAGAATTCAGAAAGGACTGCTAAAGAAACAGACAGAATGAATGACCAAGAATCAGAAAGAACTATTGAAAACCTGCAGATTGATGTAGAACATAATTCAAAACAGAGCACAATTCTGGCTTCAACAACATGCTGCATCGCACACATATATAGAGAAGAAATATCTAGTGCACAGAAGCATAGCCTCATACTTCTCTCTCCTACCTCCATAAATAGTTTAACCTGTGTAGAGCTAATAAAAACTGAACCCCTCCAACTTCAAGTTCTCCTTGAGGACAATAGTTCTAAGAGAGAGTTTACACAAATGACCAAAAAGTCACTTCCCTTTTGTTTTCAATAGAGATGGGAAACTCTCTCCCAGAAGATTTTCCATCCAAAGACAACTACCTCTTCTGACTGGAAGATAAAGCCATGTTAAAAGTAAAGACAATGTCAAGACATCCTACATCTGAGGACAAGCTGAAAAAACCTGTCCAGAAGCTAAAGCTTACTGAGTTTCTTTCAACAGATCTTAGAACTAAACTTCAGTGATACACTCTCAGAATAAAGAAAGACATTTCATACACCTCTCAGACAAAGGAAGAGACAACTGACACTTCATAATTCAGGGAAGACATAGTACAGCTTGAGGGTTTACTTTGTAGCAATGTGGCTTTTGGACACACACTGCTTTTGACTCCGTTACATGATGCACATACAGAAAAAGATTAGGAACACTGCAATAGCTATACAAACTCAAACTCAAGTGTGCTTAATCCAGGTCCTTTCACAAAGTACCTCAAAAATTCATTTACTGAAAAAACATTACATGAGAAAGTGCCATTCCCTCACTCTTTCCAAATTCTTTTCCAGGAAATTTGTACTTCTAAATACGCTCAGGCCAAAAGTCAAAATTTGACCTAATCCAGAAGCCATCAATATTAATGGAAATGCTCCCATTTAATTCAGTGCCAGAAATCCTTTCTGACAACGCATCTGATAAAGTCTTTAATGGCAAGACACTACAAAAATAAAAGGCCTAGTGTTTCTAGACCTTTTACTATTTTTTGTTGATCATAACTCTTTGCCATGCTGTTTTAAGATCACCAACTGAAGCTGTTTGTGTGGTTAATCAGAACAAATAGAATAGTTCAACTGGACCTTCAAAGATAATCTAGTTGCCTGATCTCTTCAGGACTAATCAGAAGTTAGAGCTTAGTAATGAAGATTAAAGAATGGAATCTCTCCCCTTAAATAATCAAAAAGGGTAGAAACTTGGTTGAGAAGCCAGACTTAGCAATATACTGGCCAGGAACATCCTTAAAATGAAAAGTGTTAAGGCTGGCAGAAACACTGAAATTAGTTTCTGCCACTTTGGAACCACAGACTTAAAGCTCTGTCACAAAGCCTACATGTAGCAGTTGGGTTGGGGGAAAAAAAAAAAAAAACAACAAAAAAAAGGAAAAGAAATGAATCAGCTGAGTAAGTGACTCATCTCCTTACCTGAGGCAGGTCTGCAACTCTTGTTCTGATAAGACCTCAGTGAGTCTTTGTAGCAATGTAATGCTCAATTCATCTCAGTTTAGTTCTGGCTCCAAGCTGAATGATTGCAACTAAGCAAACATATACATCTTACTTATTTGACTCTGCTGCAGTGAGATAAGAACACACTTGGACGACCAGTAATTACTTGGCCTACTTGCTTCACCCTTCAGTCTCTGCTAGATTGTCCTCTCAAGCAAATGGTTTATTTATCATTAGAGTTAAGAAGGGAAGTACAGCAAAAAGGTATCACAAAGATGCCCCATATTAGAGCCCCTCTCTACTACAACGTAATTTTTAATCTATACAAAAATGGCTTTTAATCCATGTAAAAACATATATATTTATGTGACACAATGGAGAAAAATCTGCCATTAAATCCAGTTACAGTCTTCTCTATCCAACCATCAGTATTTCAAGCAGAAGAAGAGTTTGAAGAACACACTAGATATTTCAAAACTTGACAGAAACTCTTCTGTCCTCTATTCATTGCCCTTGAACCGCCTGTCAGAACATCAGCTAACGCAGAGACCCTGGCCCTCTGCAGAGGAAAAGTCACACTCAGCTTACATTTGGTATCTAGTAACAGAAAGTCATCACTACCAATGTGACTATACATCAGGAATTCAATGCCAAAGATAAGCTGATTTTGCAACGTGGTTCCAGTTTCAGACAGCACTGATCTCAGTGGCCATGGGACACAAGACATAAACAAGTACTTCCTCACCCATTTCAAGCAAAGTCAACCAGTTTTACGAAGCCCATCAGTAATAGTAAATACCACATAAGAGACTTTGTCACCACTGAAGTCACAAACAGGTCAGTCAGGAGGTAGTACTATTTGAACAGAGCAGACCCATCTACACCAGTGTGAGCAAGATCTGAAGAGAACACTTATCTACGACAAAGCATATGAAGCAGGCTAAGACATGCAGGATATTTGGGAAAATGACCTTTGAAGGCTCACAGAATCACAAAGTAGTTGAGGTTGGAAGACATCTCTGGAATCCTTTCATCCAGCTCCCCTGTGAAGCAACTCAGCAGGTTGCCCAGGGTCCTACATAGTTAGGTTTTGACTGCCTCCAAGGATGGCTATTCTACATCCTCTCTGGGCAACCTGCTCCAATATTCAGTCTCCCTTATAGCAGAAGTGTTTTTGTTTTTTTTTCCTCAGGCTTTAATGTAATCTACTGTGGTTTGATTTGTATCTACTTCCTCTTGCTCTTTCATTGGGCACAACTGGAAAAAAAAAAAAAAAAAAGACTTTTTTTTTTTGTCCCCTACAACTCTTTCCCAAATCTTCTCTGTTCCGTGCTAGCCAGTCTCAGCTTTCAGCATCTCTTCGAGATGCATTCCAGTCCATTAGTTATCTTCACGGTCTCTTGCTAGATTCACTCCATTACCCTGTGTCTAATAGTGAGAAGCTCAGAATTGTATTTAGCACTCCAGATGCATAAAGCTCATAGAGGGAAAGAATCACCTCTCTTGACTTGCTGGCAACATTTTTCACAATACAGCCCAGGTACACTGAAATTTTTGCTGCAGTGATTCATTGCTGGCTCATATTCAATCTGGTGTCCATCAGGGCACTCAGGTCCTTTTTCTGCAAAGCTTTCCAACTGGTCAACCTGTAGCATGAACGTGTATATGGAATTATTTCTTCCCAGATTTGGCATTTCCTTTTGCAGAGCTCTCCTTCAGATTCTTTGCTGCCCTATTTTTTTCAAACTATCAGAGTCCCTGCGAAAGGTGGCACAGCTCCCTTTCACCAGTCACTTCTAATTTCATACAACCTTTCAGCTTGCTGAGGGTACACTCTATCCCACTCTCCAAGTGATTAACAAAGATGTTAAATGATGTTGGCCGTAGTATCAGCCCCTGGAGTACACCACTCATGACTGGCCTTCAAATGGATTTCATGTTGCTGGTTGCAATTCTTTGAATCTAGCAGTTCAGTAAGTTTTCAGTTCATCTCATTATCCATTTAGTCCTTATTTAATCATTTTGTCATTTTCAGCTTGCATTTAGTCCTCTCCAGAAAGCAACGGCCCATTTGAAGCAATTCATTATTTTTCTTTTAATTCGTATGAATGCTTTCCTGTTGAAGAATGATCTGAAAAATAGTAGTAGCAGCCAGTGCCTGCCCATAGCTGCCTGCCAAAGCTTTCTGCACCCTAGTGGAAGAGTGATACTCTTCACAGATAGGCTGTGTCATTATAATAGTTCTGAAGCATTTATATTCTACTTACATTTATAAAATAATCATCGTTCTACAAGTATTTCATAAATATAATGTTACACCACTGACATTTCAAGTTAAAAAAATATCAAAACAATAAAAAGCTATACCACTGTTTCTTACACTAGGAAAGTAACTAAAGAAAAGAATTATCATTTATTTCCTTTTGCTGTAACGTTTCTTCTTTTTTTATTCTATTTTTAATTCCTGCAGTGGCAACAATCATTTTGCAATAGGGTTTAATCCGTGGAATTGTGTTTCTATGCATCTGTTATACTTGTATCTTCGTAGATTACTAAACCACCGTCTCTATCAGTAAATATTTCTCAAGTGAACTGCATCAAAATTTGCCCACAAAGATCTAATCATTAAGATACAAAACTGAAATGTTGGGGCTTTCAGTTCTGTTATAGCTATAAACTTTGGTTAAAGGGGCCAATGTCTAGTCTTCATTTATAAACTGAAAATCTTTATACTAACACTGAGAGTATTGCTTTGTATCATATTATGCATTCTCCTTCAGCTACTTTCCCACCCAAAAGGCATACTTGAACCTCAGAGTGTTTCCAAACTGAAAACAAAAGTCTCTGTATAATCAACAGTTCCGGAACACAAGTGGTAAGAGAGCCTTGTAGAAGCATCCTTGAAGATGGACTAGCGCAGTGTGAGTTGTGTTAGCTTTATCCATGCTGGAAGATCATTTAAACTACGAAACTTTAAATTTACTGATTGAAATCATTAACATGATACGTTAGTGTATCTACATCCCAGCACTGTAACTTACAGTGAAAAGTATATAACAAGTAGCTGAAAACATAACTTTCTACGCCTCTTTATCCAGAGTTGTAAAAACTTGCCTCACTGTAAATATACTATCTTCTGCTTGCTTTCCTTTCGCATTGTTCAAATTATACATAGAGACTCCTGCAATTCCACCTTCCATGATGGTATTTAAACATTATTTCCCAGAACTGCAGTACAATGATAATCAAGTTATGAAACCTTCTAACCTTCTAACATGCTGTTTACTGTAGCCCTTCTGACAATTCTAAAGAGCATCTCAGATTTATTCTCAACTAAGTTACAGTTTTGATTCTAAGATTCCGCCAGGTACGTTGTGTCTTGGTTTCCCACACGCACTCATAAAGGCACACACAAATCTTTCTATATAAGAGCTATAAAACACATACCTTTTCTGAATGTTGTTTACAACCACTGTCAGTTTAGCTTTGTGAAATTTAATTGTTTATGTAGCTTTTTCTCCTATGAGGTAGACTCAAAAAGACTTGTTTTACTGCAGTCTGCTTAAAGGAACTAGTCTTCCAAAACTAAAAGTCCTGCAGATTAACACATGATCCTTGTAAATCTAGCGCTCTCAAACATGGTAACATTGAGTTGTGAATTGACTCCAAAGACAAGAAGGTTGATAGCTTAAGTACAAGCATAGCAAGAGAGCTTTTCGCTAGGGAACGCGATTCAAAAGAGACAAAGGGAGCACAGAAATCACAGCTTCATCACTTCCTGAAAATCTTCAGAACTGAAGATTTACGTTCTGATGGACTTTCAGAAAACATGAAGACGACATCGGCATGTAAGAAGAAAGTCAGTATGGTACATTCTCTAAGCTCATTTTATAACATCTCTTCCATTAACTACACAAATCCTGATAAAAAAAAAAAGTTGAAAAAAAAAAACCAACAAAAAAAAACCAAACTTACACTGATGTCTTTTTTTCCTAAACACGGGTTACATGCTTGACACCTTAACATTAATTTGCAGAGTGAGCCCGGCTAAGGCAAGCTCATATTTCTGGTCATCCCCAACACATCGATCTCAGACAGTCTAGAAACCCATTTGAGAAGCAACTATGAAGGAATTGATAAAAGTTTACAGATAAGGATGGAAAAAAAGAGGGGATTGGAAAAAAAATAATTTCAAAAGCTATTTCTCAGGATTAACATAAAAAGGAATCCCTTGTACGAAGAAACATCTGAGGAGAAACTACAAGCACCACTTGAGATAGGAAACAATAATGGGGCAAATATGATGTTTGTTTCAGACATGAAAGAAACAGCTTATACTTACCAGATTATCAGTTTCTGGATCTTCACAGAAGAAGGGTTTTCCTTCTTTTTCCTGCTTCCTTACAAAATTTTCAATATCTACATCAAAACTTGCAGAAGTCGTGCCTTCCGATCCTTGTGTAGATTGTTCACATTTTTCAAATAACAGTGCTAACAATGGAAATAATGGGTGTCTAGAATGGAAGTTAAAATAAATATTGTCATTTCTAGTTATAATACTGAAAAGTCAGGTGTCTAGCTCACACAGGGTAACAATTACTCCTAAGAAACGCAAGGACAAGTCTTAAATGAGACTGCACATAGCACCACTGGCTATAGCAGAACATGATGAAAGTTTGTTTTTCCTTTTTCCATTACCACACAACCTACGGGTAAGAAAAGCAATAAGATAAATATATCTAAATAAACAGAACAATCACAAAGCAAAGAGCTATGAAATGCTATATAATTTACTGTAAACGAGTGGCAACAAATATGTTAAAAACAGCATGTTAGAAATAGTGATTTAGACTTATAAATAGGATGAATACATACTTAAATGTGTTTTTCTGTTAAGTCTAAAATCATTTATTTTAGATAAAAGCCATTTGTTCTTCAATGTGGGCTTTGCTTATTCATCACAAATAAATGTACAGAACTGGTGATAGTATAGAGACTGTACTTGGAGGCCTCCAGTAAAAGTGGTTAGGATGTCTCAAAGCAGAAGCAGGTTTTGTCAGCACAAGACTGAAAATGAGTGGATATGTCTTCTTATTTTTTTTTTTTAATTAACTGTGAACTGGCAATAGTTATGCATTTATAAAGCACTTAAAATGGAAGAAAAATGAAAGAACACTTAACCTCATAAAAAGAGAGCAATACTAATCAGCGCAACACTTAACACTGGGAAAAAATCTCAAATTACTGTGTTTATACATCAACATTCAATCCAGTTAGAGCCAATCACTAGGCAGTAGATTGCTATCCCTAAAGAAAAGCAAGTAAAAACTAACCTAATTACAATTTTAAAAAATACCCCACACTGAAGATAAAAACTACTGTATAATCTACAGTGAGCACAGCTCAACTGCCTGAACAGTACGCTAAATCGCTCTTTAAAAGCAGCCAAGTTCAGAACTTCCTTTAAACTATGCTGGATTAGAATGAATCCATAATAAAAGGAAGGTTGTTAGGTTTTCTTTTTTTAATTAAATATATTTTCGCTAAAAATCAACAGTGAATTTAAATTGATCTCCTCCTTTTCCTGAATGCTACTAAAACATATAGCCAAGAAACAAACTGTTTCTAGGCTGCCTTCTACTAGTTTATATTTAAAAAAAAAAATAAATTCCTGTTCTTTACCCTTCAAAAGACAGAGCACAAGTCCATTACTACCTGTAAATGGCCTGCTTGTCTGCATCCATTGGAGTTTGAGATTCTACAGGGGCAGGACTCACCCCTTCTGCATCAGTTTCAGAGCAGTTTGGATCTTGTTCAGTTTTTAACTCTGTTACTACTTGCATCTGTAGAAAAAGGATAAGTTATTAGTAAATCTGCTTGCTTGACGTAAAACAAGCATACTGTTTTCTAAGGAAATAGCAATGTAGAGGGCTACTAAATTGCCAGAAGGTTGGCATGACTTGGCAATTGCACAAGAAGCCACAGTAGGAACAAAAAACCTCTTTTAATCCTTGAGACTTTTTGATGAGTAGTGTAAAGGTCACTTTAAGTTTCAGCTCTCAGCTTTAAAAATGGGAATGACAGATATCAGTAAATAGTTAAAGCATTTCATCTCTGAAGTGATTTTTTTTTTTTGAGTAGGCTAGAATACATTGCTCCAAATATTTTATGAGAATGTCTGCATAAAAAGCATTTAGATGAAGACAACAGAAAGGAAAAGTTTCTATTCAGCATTTCTTCTTGCTCTTTACTGTACATTATAACAAGACACTGCAGAAAAGAGATCCTAAAGTTTTTCTTGCTCATTAAAAGGCACATTTTCTTAAACAGAACTAAAATATTCTGTGTCCTACCAATGTCTCATTTACCAGGAGCATGATTTCCTCTGACCTCTACCACTCAAATTTACATACCAATTATTTTAAGGATATCAAGCTCCTGGAGAAAACAGCTGTAAGTGCTTCTAGGTATCTATTTAACAAAAACACGTAAGCAAATGTTGAAGGAAGAGAAAAAGAAAAATAAGTAAAAACTACTTTTGAATAGCAGTAAAGACACATCTGTCAGTTTATCTAAATGCAATTCACCTATTAATACAAAATAAACATTGACACTTCATATAGAACTTAGCAGTCAGAACTGATAGATATGCATGAGAGTTTAAAAGAACCAACCTAAATTGGTGGCCTGCAAGTAAATAGAGCAAGGAGGAACTCCAACAACAGTAAAGCAGGAAAGAAGGAGGAGAAAAAAAAAAAAAAAAAAAAGATAGCAGTAATTCCCCTAAAAAGAAGCTTGAAAAAATATTTGATGTGTTACTGAAAAAGAACACTAAGACCTACAAATCTACCTAAATGACTAAACAACTCCACAGCCACCCTGGCAGTGTGAAATACCTCCTCATGTTACCACAATTGATCCCACCTGGGGTCAACAACTGCTACCTCCCACACTGCTGTTCTATTAGCTGCAGCTGAACACTTGTCTTCTAAATGACAGCTTTTCTGCTTCCCTATGGCTTTTTCCTGCCCACTGCCCTCACCTTAGTATCCACACATTCAACTGTTTGCTTATACTGCATGGATTGCTTCACCAGCTCTATTTTAGAGCACAGTAACACAATCTGCCACAAGTGAAAAAACAACATACAGCCATTGCTTCTACCCAGGCCTGCATTGCGCTGGCTGGCTGGCAATGCCTCGGAGGCCTTGCCTACATGATCATGGTGTTACTGGTGCTGGAAATGGTTTTCCCCAACACCCCCTTCTAAGCACCCTTCAGGCTAAATTAAGTGTCTTAAAGGGAGTCACAGTCACCCCTCCACTACATTCCAAACTCTGTCTCTCTCCTCTTCCAGCACAGGCAACTTCCATAAAAGACAAGGAGTCACTGCAGCCTTTTTTGCTTTAACTCTAAGAAATTCTGTCTGGATTAGAAGACAGATGCTACTCTGGGTATCCCCGCATATTCAGAACTGACATCTCCAGGTATGAACAGAGTGCAATCCTCTTCCCTGAGAGGGTTCCAGTGAAACTTTATCTGCACATGACAGAAGCAAAAGGCATTTACACTACCTCCAGCAAGGGTCTGAAAGAACAGAAGGGTTTATGCTTTATTACCTGTTAGGGCCACCCACCTTCAAGAAAAATAGGAAACTGAGAAAGCAACAGATTATCCTGCCCAAGACAGCATCCTGCCTTGTAAAAAGCTTCCTCAGCAAGCACAGGTGATCTTAGAGCCAGAATGCTTGCAAAAAAATGATGCAATTAATGAACTCATTTCTTGGCTAATGACAAGGGGAAGGAGCAAAATGGAAGGGGGTGACTCATATAAGTGATTATAAGTGTTGAACCACCACATATTTGCAGAGTTTGAAGTTGGAGATTATGCTCAGCGAGAACTGAGAACTATTTTCTGTGGGTCATTTCAATGCTACAAAAGAAGTAGGCATCAAAATTACCTGCTTATATGGTCACTGAAAGCTTAAATCAAAAGAAAACAAACAATTTGTTCTTTACAAAAATACGTATTGCTTTTACCTAAATGTCACAGGGTGGCATGTATTTGCTGAGGGAATAGTGTGAAAGGGGTAAGGCAGGAGAGAGGAAAGAGAAATTAGAACTGCAATAAAAGAAGCACACAACAACAACAAAAACAATAACACAAGACCGCATTCAGATAAACATTTTTATCTTTTAAAAAATGGAGAAAGTTGCCATTTTTTTCTTCTGTTCATCACTGTTGCCATCTGCTGACAGAAGTACTTGTATTCACTGCTTATGGCTGACACACAGTAACATAAAGATGGGTCATCAGGTTACAGGCCAACGGCATGACTAGTTCCCAGCTAACAGTATTTTAGTTCAGAAATTCAAATTGTTGCAATACATTGCTTGTTGTACAAAAAGAAACATTATGACTAAACATAACCCACCATGCTTCATTTACCTCACCTGCCTCTTTACAGAAATAAAAAACTGGAGTATCGTTGATCAGCTTTCAAACCATCCATTCTTATCAATAACCTCCTTACCAGTCTCCAGCATAATTGCTTCTATTCAAACTAGTGTATAATTCTAGATAACCAAACTTAATTCCTTGAAACCAAGTTGTTTATAACTGCCTGAATGTCACCTGGCTACTGCAATTGCAGACACGAAAGAACACCAAAGAATCATGAACGCAAAATATTAAGGATACCCAATTCACCTTTCCTAAAAGCAAGAACATGAAGCACACAAATCACTTAGAGCAGAATCAGAATAAAATCTCTTATCTAACCATTCTGACAGAAATGAAGCAAAGTCACACAAAGATTAACTAAGTCTTTATCAAATGTTTAAAAGTATTACAGAATATTAGCTCCTCACTTCAAATACTTCATTTTACAAACAAAAATAGTAATGCCAACACAGGCATTGAAGTCACAACTTCTTTCTCTTGCCAACTGTGTCAGTTCATAAAGAAAAACAATCTTACCGGTTGTCCATCTTGATAGTTGTCTATACTTAATGTCTGTGTTGCCATCATGGTTAAGAAAATGTTAATTGCATCAAATCATCATCAGTACGAACAAATACTCTAAAAAAGAAGAAAAAAATAGTGTTACAGAAGTGCCTGTTTAGAAATCAATTGCAAAAGATGAAAATGGATGGAGCTGTAATACTGAAACAATCAGCAACCTTATCGACAATAAAAGCTATGTGCATTTTCTCAACAAAATTCCATGTGGAAAACCACAAACTTCAGCATGAAACATGGGAACATTTTGTATTTTAACATCACATTGTCAATAAGATGGATGTAACAGGATTTCATCCATGAACTTCAGGTAAAAACTAGCATTTATTTCTGCAGTACTTAACTAATTCTAAGGTTATGCATAAAATGTGGAAAAGAACAAAGATTTGCTTCTTTGTTCTCAAAAGACCAACGACACATTGAACTTTCCTGTAACCAAAACCACAAAGAGACTACAACTGATGGATCAAATGTAGAAAGTGTTAAGCAACAGCAATTTACTTACGAGCATGAATCTTATATTCTAAAATTAGAACCTGAAATTTCTATTAGAAACCTATACCTGAAAGCACTTCTGAAGTAAGGAATCTCCTACTGAAGTTAAGCAAGGCCCAGCGAAGATTAGAGCGAATTCTAACTATTTTTAAACAATTGGGCCTATGAAATGACATATTTTCAAAAGGGACTTCAGAATTCAGAAGTATCATTTTCTCTGTCATTCAATACTTTGGGAAACATTGATTTCCATGTGATTTATGACACAAATCAATTCATGTCTGGCATTCTCTTCAAGCATTACTTGGAGTCTGCTGCGCAGAGGAGTTCAAACATTAAAAAAAACCAATATTTAGTATATCAACACCAGACAGAGTTATCCGTCAAACTATTAGTTTTACTTTTCTCTTCCTTCTCAAATTAGCAGGCACTACAATAAAATCACAAAATCCAAGAAGGCATTAACACTAAATGTCACCATGGAACTCCATTTTCCTTGACCTGTAGGAGTCCTAATGGTTAGCCAGTATAAAAATATTGATATTAGAGAGGAAAAAAACAAAAACAGAGCTCATGTCTTGAAGAAGATTACACACAGGCACTCCTTCCAGTTTTTGTGCTCTCTTCTACTAATCTCAGTATTGAAGAATGAGATATAAGAATTTTCACCATCTTAAGATCTGAAATGAAAACTCTTTTCTTTGTAATAGGTCCAATGACTACAAATTTTTCAACTGTTTTCAAATCTTTCCTTCACCTTGGCACAGCACTAAAATATATAACCATTTTGAAGAGTAGTTTCTACAGTTTCAGATATTTTTCCCTGTAGATCACAACAGTCACAAGTACAGTCACAAGGGTTTAATTTAGAAACACAGGGCAAGTTTGGGAACTCCCTTCCTCATTTACTTCACAGTTTCAGGCATAGAGATGGATCGTAACTCCTCAGGACAAACCTCCATCCTTACTTTGCACCAAGTTCTACTCAACCAAGTTCTACTCAAAGTGGAATTTATTTGATTATTTACTCATTAAAAACCAGCTCTGAAGACTAGAGGAGCTTATCACAATCCAGTAGGCACGACTCCCTATCCAAACTTGGATATAAATTCACTCACTATGGATCAAGTCCCACAGCTGCCCTGTGGCGGCCCGTGCCACCTGAGGTACTCCTGGCTCTGGGTCACGGTGTAGCTGCATACGTTTCCATCTGCAGACAGCACGTGCACACCATCTTCAGCAGCTTGTGGAATGGGAAGAGACGTGCTACAACTGTGCTACAGTTATTCTTAAGAATAAAGATGACAGAAAAAAAGAGTAAAGACTGATTTTATTTTTCTGGTAGCTGTAATGCAAGTGTTTGCTGGTTTGGTGGCAGCAAGCATCTGGTAGGAGCGGGATTCTCTGAAGAGTTTTGGTTCACACAGCAAAGTTGTACAACTACGAGCCAGAAACCCCTCACAGCAACATCCTAGCATGCTGATGTTTGAGTGTATTTTTAGCACACACCAAAAATATGGGTTTAACGTGTGAAGTAAAGCACCTCTAGCCAAAACACTGATCCTCTACTTCTTTTACGTTTTGTTTGCACAAATAGTGCTGGAGAACTAACTTTCTCTTGTACAGCTTTATTGTGTTTTCTTATGACAAATACTTAGCTGTATCACTAATAAAGAATGAAGGACCATCAACAGAATAAAATCTCCAACCCCTGTAACCCCTGACTTCACTTTGATACTAACACGAAGAATACTTCTTTGGATTTTAGTCAAAGTATTATGAAAACAAATTTTCTCTTTAGACTAATACAACAGCCTACCAGTGTCATCCCCCTACCATTTGCTTTTGGGTGGCAGAGGGTTCAACACACATCACATCAAGGAAGAGACACCATAATCTTACATTTTTGAGTTACAAATCTCCTTTTAACTCACCCAAGCAACTGGATGATCTTTCTTGCATTTTCTAGCAACAGTTGCTCTTCTATCTTTAATATGTAATGCTCTTTTCCAACTATTTGACTTACAGCTTCCTCCCTTCCGTATTTGCTTTCCAAAACATGAAACATTATGCAAGGAATAACTTAAGAAGAACTTCAAATCTACTTTTTATTACTAAACCCACATTACAAAATACCTTACCATTTTAATAATGCACTGATCTACTTTCTCAAATACTACTCTATGCTTTAGCTTAGCAATACAACATATTGTACAATTATTTACATCACATGAATTCTTATTAATAGTATTTCATATTCATAAATAAGACTTTATGTGCAGTGCTAAAATTTGAACTTCTGCTATTGCATAGTCAGGTGATAATTACTCATATGCAACTACACAAGCTGTACTCTTCTTCCAGCTTTCACATAGCTGGCATTAATACTAACAATTAAACAATGAGAAGGCCAATCACAAAGAAGGCTCCAGACAAAAAAGGAAAAGTAAATCAACATTTCCTCCTCGTATACTATTCCTTTTCAAAGAAGAAGGCAGAAAAAAATGTTGGTACTTTATGTAAATACCGCACTGAAAAAAAACAATCCAATAAAAGAGGAAATAAAGGATTGCAAAGAACAGAGACATTCTTAAATGAGCCATCACTTATTATTTTGAGATTCAGATTAAAAAACCCAAAAGCATAACAAATTACCACCACAAAAAAACCAAACCAACCAAACAAAAAAACCACAACGGACCAAAGAAGCAAACAAAAACCCTTGAGTTCTTTTTATATTTCTAACCTAAACATCAAATAACATGAATGTTACTTAGCCCTTTACTACTACACTGTAGAGCCAAAGAAAACAAGGAACACTTCAAATTTCATGCTACATTTACTTAGTTTTATAACTTACATCTCACCTGAGCTTTCAGTCTTCATAGGACAACAATATCTATTACTTTGAAACTCAGAAAACAATATTAATTTCTCATCAAAAGAAAAAAAAAATGGGAAAGACATGAACACATTCACTGATAGAAATACTTCGGAATTGCTTTTTTATGGCTATGAATCATTCAACATTAAAGTTGAATCAGATACCTAAATGTTGATGCCTTTCCAAAAGAACTTTAAGGGAACATATTCTAAAATATAAGTGCTGTGAGCATTTACCTTGTGTTTAAACATTTAGTTTTTCAGAACAGCTTACAGCCACAGTATTGATGACTGCCTGTATTGACAGAGTCAAAAGGCACAAAGTCCTAGTCTTCTTTCCCTAAAGGTGCACATTTCATTACTGACTGTGATACTAGAAGCAGAAACGAGGCTACCCTCAACATCAAGACGTTCAAACAGATCACACTCATCGATCTACAAATAGTAACCACTATTTCAAGATTATTTTACAAGTTGAAGAATTCCTTGCAAAATGTCACTAAATAAATTGTTTGGCTATGGGAGACAGATAATCTCTTAGAAATGATGAAATAAGGTAAAACACTTTAAGAAAAGTACCTTTGAAATGCGGTGGAGTTAGCAAAGACGTGAGATAATATCAGCAACACAAATAACAACATGAAAACGGAAGTAACCAAGATAACACATTCAGACTGGTGAAGACAATAGGATATGATAAGAATTTCTAGACTGGCCCTTCCACATTTCCATAAGGAAAAGACATTCCACACTAAGAAATCCCTTAGGCCAAATGAAGGGGAAAAAAATGGGATGCGCAGCTTTGAGCTAGATCCATAGATAATCTCACCAAAAAAGGCTTTAGCCCCATTCTCTCCCCATGGAATAGCTAGACAGGATTCTGCATGGGTAGATTTGTTATTTCCCATAAGAGCTTCCCCTCTGACTTATAATTACAGTAGTGGAAGATTAAGCTATTAGGCAAGATAGAAACTGATGAGATTTAGTGAAGAAAACTACTGCAAATCAAGAAGAACAAATTGAGCTAATGACACACTTAAATTGAGGCAATTAACTGAGGAATTACTTGAGTTCACTAAAGAGAAACATCTCATTATCCAGTAGTGGTTAGAAACAAACTACATTAGACTTCAAGAAAAATAACTTTAAAGGTATTTACACATTTGGCTTTTATAAGCTAATTTAGGATACAGCATCCAGTCCCAGTTAGCAGATACACAGCCTAAGCAGATGTTCATTCTGCAAACAGTGATGCTAGATGAAGCTGGTATCACTCCCAGATGTTTATCACTGCCACCCTGCCAGAGCTAATTATTTCCACAGCCCTACCCTGAGCTCACCAACATGTGAATGACTTCTGATCCCTTCTACATAAAGTTAGCCATGCTAATTCAACTCTCTTTTAAAGGTGGCTATAATGCAAACCAGCCGATTTTGTCTGAGACACATTACTGTGCACTCACACAACCCCTGCTCTCGCTGACCTATTAGTGTGGTAATTTCTGGCTCACGTGTGGTAATTTCTGGCTCAAGTGTGGTGATTATCAACTCACAGCAGGACCATCTTTAACCAGCACAGCTATACCTAATGCTACATGGCCTAAGGTATCCGAACGGGGCCTAAGGACACATGACTTCTGGACAAATTAGCTTTAAAAATTCCAATTATTCTTTCTTAAGGAAATTGAGAGTAGAAGGAAAACAGTGCAGTTGTGTTATATTCAAAGAGGTACAAATAACAAAAATAACTGGTGGCCGAGAGGAGTCTGCCAGACTGCTTCATGGTGAACAGTATTAACTCTCGTTTTATTTATTTTGAGAACAAAGTGTGAGGAAAACCCAAGGAAACACTTAAGGTCATGTAAACTGGAGGCTGACACATGAACTGCAATCAGAAATGCTACTGACATCTGTGGTGAAAGGGAATTTGCAAAACAACTGTTCTACAAAAGTGAAAAAAAATTCAAGCCTTTAACAGAAATGAGTATGGAAGTAAAACGTAAGCTAGAAAGGAAGCTAAATTAAGAGGGGTGAAAATAATTAGAAGTGTGCAGACCTTGTGCAAATTAGGGAGTATATCTAAGAAAAAAGCTCAAAGGTGAACTGAAACACTTCAGACAAAGTGCCCATCTCTCCTCACTTGCTCTACTTATTCCTTCATAACTAAGAGCGCAGGGACCACCCAGAAATGTTAACATAAGGTGCAAGTAAGCTTTTGGAGCTCAGTAATATCGTTTTTAACATATACAAGCTACAACAGATGTTTGTAAGATATATAAATAGTTATGCTTCAGGGTATAAGCCAACCACTAACTGTCTTAGGGTTGTGAAGAAACTACCCAACCAACCTGTTAACACATAATTGTTCCTTTTAATTTTCCACTACACACGTTCTTTTGAAGTACTTCAGAGAGAAAAGGGGACTGGCAGATTCTGTATGGCTATTTATTGGTTTATTCTTAACTTCAGGCAGCATGTACAATACCACAGACATTCTTGCAGCTAACATTCAACAAAATTCAACAGAAACAAAATTAAAACACGGAGTTTGCTTGACATATGAAAAGCATCTAGAACCTGCTTCACTTGTCATCAAAATATGTAATTATATAGCTCCCATGGTGCATGGCTAAGTCAAATATAAGCCAGGAGAAAGCTGCTCACCCTTCTCCTTCAGTGGGTTGAGGACACCATTATCTCATTCCAGCAGAGTCCCACTGATGTACCAGGTGCACAACAGAAACCTGGGAACCAACAGAAAAAGATTCAGAGACAACAACATACAACACACTTTCTGAGACTGAAGATGATTAAAGAAGATACAGAAGGCTACACTCAGACAGTTGACTTGCTTGCTGTTGAGTCTTTATACTTTACTCTCTGTCTGCTTAGATGAGACAAGACACATCCCCAAATAAAACTCATAGGAACAACTCAGCTCCGAGTTTTCAGGGAAGTCCTTCTTCATCAAAATTCAGCATGAAGCCAAGAAAGGGCAAAGACTTTTCATTTCCCAATTTAAATCTCTTTCATAATCACACTTTGACTTGATTGTGGAATGTATTCCAGTGGTGGCTATAATCAAGTAATCTTCTATATGATAAACACTAGCAGCATACCAAGGAGAGTGTGCCATCATTGGTACTGAATGTTTAGAGCAGGCGGGTTCTGCTACAGATTTATTCAGCAATTTTAAAGAAACTTCACAAAAATTACCATTTACAGTTAATTTTATTTAATTTCACAGCACTTGTTTGATACATTAAAGCTACTTTAGAAGACTTGTAATGACCAAGAAAGCAAAGTAGCAAAGATTATAAAAATATTTAACTGAAAAGTATTACAGAATGCCTACAAAACTCTCACCGGAGGTTACTGATGCTAACCTTGTGCAGAGGCCATCTGAAATGATGGCTACAGCACAGTTTGGCTCTTACACCAGATTATCTTTGTTTCCCACACAGAAAAAAGTACTCGTGTTCCCAGTTCTGCTGAGTGCGTAAGAGCTGAAACGAAAGTAACTCCAACATTTCTGAAAGTGAGATGAAGTTGGTATCTACAATTCTGAACCAACATTTATCTGTGTACAGTGTATATGTACAGTTTTCCAGGTCAGTTCACAGACGCACAAAATGCTAAGGGCCAGTCAAAACAGACACCATCCACAGTTCACGAAATCCAGCTCTGAAAGAGCTGAGAAGATACTCCAGGAAGCAGTGAGGCATTATATGATTTAGTCACTGGTAAGAGATGAAATACTGAGTTAGGAGTCCCAGCCTACAACAACATGCCTGTTCATGAAGCCTTGAAGGGCTCTCTGTCCTCAGCTGTCCAAGACCTGTGTACCCCAAGAAGAAATTTCTCTCATTTTTGTCTTATTCCCTTCTTCGCACACTATTCACCTTCTGTAATTCTGGTACTCCTTTTCACTTTTCTCAGCTTACTGAGCTGCTTGCAAAAAGTCATTTCCCACTCTGCAGAATCTTCTGAACATAGGTCACTGCCAAATAAATGGGGATTATCCATTTTTTTGTGTCTGAAGGGTCTACTTTACCATCACAAATCTGAAGAGCCTGTTTCTTTCATCCAGAAACAGCTGCAGCAAAGAACCCGTAGCATCTTGGTTGACAGATCTAATCACTCAAAAAATATGACGTAAAAAGAAGAAAGCAGTCCTTGCTTCCAAAGCCTTTCCCGAAACTCCAGAAACAGGCAAGCTGCAAGACCTTGTGTATGAGACATCAAGGGCAGAATGGAGGAAGTACTGAAGAAATGCAGCCCAGGTGAAAGATGCCAAGAAAAGGTTGGGCAGAGGAGTGAGAGGACATTGCAGTCATGTTGCTTTCTTCCAAAAGACAACTGAGAGCAATTACAACTACAAAGCCTACTCCGAAACACATGAGAGAAGAAAATGATAGAGATCTGAACTTGCATGTTTTGTCCTCCCACATACCTCAGAGGAGGCAAGAACAGGGCGCAGCTCACCTGTTAAAGGATGGAGACAACAACAAGGCTCCGTGGAGCCTGCACTTTACTGTTATCCGTTTGTTTTTTCATTTTTATACTTCTTGCAGACCAGCTTTAAAATCATGTTATCAATATAAAGAAGACAGTTAACTATGAAACCAGAACAAACGGCCACTTGTTTTGTCACTTAAAGGCTTAGGTTTTTATTATGAAGTAAAATACAACCTTGTTCATTCAAGCACAAATGAGCCCTGCGTTCAGCAGCTCTCACTTTGCATGCCAGCCAGTAAGAAACAAAGACCTGTGCATACATTCAGATCTACAAACATCAGCATACATAAAGGGTATGTATATATACATGTATGTGATTACAGATTCAAATAAAAATAACAAAGTAAAGCATAGAGTACATATGACAACTTGCCAGCAGGGCTTCATTCTACCTTTGCTGCAGTCGTTACTTATCTCCATCGACCTGCCTACAAAGAGACGTTAAGTAAAATTAAGACAAACAAATCAATGTGAAGTTGATGCACACAAGTTTATTAAAAAGGCACTCCATGAGAATGCAGTCCTTACTCAGCAGCGAGGGGACTTTCATTTCCTCTATCTTCTGTACTTACAAAGTACAGCCATTATTTAGAAATATTGTACTTTTAGAAAGATTATGTTCCTGTTCAGGAGTATAATACCTGCCTCGGGGAGTTACACTACACAAATACAGCTCAACGATTATTACACAACAGCTATGCTGTCAATTTCTTTGGGAGAAGAGCCCTAAAAAAAGCCACAAAACCAATTTTCTGCTGCAGTAAAATGAGATTTACTTTGTGTCACTTTTTTCCCTTTATTGTTTGGTGATACAATAAAGTTATTTATATATTAATCTGGATGAAGATGAGATGAAATTTTAAGAAGAGTGCACCGTACACTTTAAGAAACTGAAAATTAAAATAAAATCAAAATCCACTGCTAAGGTGATTTTTTTTTTTTCAGAAATTGAGGCTTCAATCTACCATTAACCTTTATTTGCACACTGAATCTTGGATGTATATACTGGTGGTGATGGGTCGACATTTGGACTAGATGATCTCAGCGGTCTCCTCCAACCTTAACGATTCTATAGTTCTATAAGATATTGGCTTTATTCAGCAAGATATCTTCAATGCTATATGTACTGCTTTTACTTCTCCATTACTTCTCCACAGCATCCTGTTTTCATATCATTCCATTTGATAAGAAGGCATACAACATATTTGTATCACAGGTTTTATCTTCCAAGCACGGCCACAGTGTCACACTGTATTGTGAACAACAGACCATCTCATGAAAAGATGTGTGCCCCTTTAGCAGTTCACACTCATTGAGCACACTGCTTTCTGTATTTTAAAGGGATTCTGGAAATTCTCTTATTTGCTGGTACTAAATACGAAAAAACCATTACATATATAAAAAATGGTGCCACTTTACACGCTGCAATTGCATACGCAGTAACTTACAAAATAGATACTAAGGACGTATAAGGCAATACACATTTCTCAAGGCACAACAGTCAAAGCAGATGGGTCTTGTCAAGAACTCCAGCTCCTTAAATCTGCCTACACCCTTTGGGTTTGCACCAGCACATTTCTGGGGATGCACACATCATCATGGCTCACGTTCATGGCTTGTGTAATTGCCTATTTACCGTCATGCTTCTTAACAGCAAGAATTCTATTCCAATCTAGTCATAAAATGATGCCACCTCAGCATGTTAGGTACCCTGGCTGCAGGTAGCTCTTGCCATTGCAGAAGGTAATCCTCACAGGCATAAAACCTCATTCTTCCAACTGTTAAAAGGTTCTCCAAATCAAGAAATTTCTGCAGCATCTCAGTTTCTCTTATCCATTTCACACTGCAAATTGATGCTGCTTTATCAGCTCCATACAGTAGAAAAGAATTATGGGGACTAGAAATTCTGATAAGAGGAAAACAAAATGTGAGGAAAAGGAAAGCTTCCTTCCCTAATTGCTCTGAGACTCCTGAGGGATTAGAGCATAGGGAAGCAAAAATACTCCCCATCACTCTCATTCATTCCCAATTGTCCACACAGTAAATGATGACACTTTTGCTATTTTTTCTTCTTAACAGTGCAAACTGAAGGACTTCTATGGTCTTTGCTTATGTATCCTCGCACGTGAATTCCTCACATGTGTCTATTTATCACAGGACAGAGAATCATTTTTCCCTTCAAGATATACCAAATAAACTGTCATCATAACATCTAAGACTCCTACTATCAAAATGATAGCATGGTATCTGACTTGCTGTAGTGCCAAGAGGAGCACATTAGAAAGACAACTGAAGAACCCTTGAAGACCAGAGGGTGTGTATCAGCAGTTATACAGCTGGAACTGATTCTGATACAACTTTCCTACCTAATGATACTTAATTACTTTTTCAAACACAATTTTATTAATAAAGCAGAACGCCACCCTCTCCATTTCCTCAGCACTCCCTGTGAATGAACAACATCTCTGCCCATGTGCTGCACCCAGCCCTGCATCTCCGCCACTGCAGCCTCTGGAATATCCCCACAAGCTTGTTGTGGCTCCCTTACTTCTGGAGAAGCTCACTGCAACATCTCCTTTAAATTAAACCAGAGCACTGACAACCTCTATTTTAATAATGATTTCTTATTTTCATAAAGAAGACACAAAATAAGCACCAATCTTACTATGTCTTTATTTCTATTAAATATTCTTTATAGTGTTAGCAAGACATTTATGGAGGATGTCATTTCATAGGCATGGAAGTTTTCTAACATTCATATCACAAAAAACTTAAAAGTTTCTAATGATTCCATGACAGACAAACCTTAACAATTCTGACATACAATTGAAGGAAGATGATAAGTTTTATTAAACTAATAACTGCCATTAAAACAGACTTAAGATGTTGAATATGCAAGCAAAAACCCCTCTATACATTTTTGAACATTTAAACGCTTAAGATTAAAATGTTCCAGTATCAATGGTTTTATTTTTATGTCCTCAATGGTTTCAGAAATCATAGAATGGCTTGGGGTGGAAGGGATCTCAAGGACCACCAATTTCCAACCCCTCTGCCACAGGCAGGGCTGCAGGTCGCTAGGACAAGTACTAGATCAGATTGCCCAGGGCTCCATTCAAACTGGCCTTAAACACTTCCAGGGATGGGACACCCACAGCCTCTCTGGGCAGCCAGTGCCAACACTTCACCACTCTCTAAGTAATGGTTTTCAATAGATTTTGGAGCCCTTCAAGGAAACACTGACTTGGGCCAGTTGAATAAACTAAAGCTACATGAAATCCCAGTCCTGTAACTGCCAAACCCAGCTGCAATTGACCAGCAAGTTTTCCACCACTTTTTTTTTTTTAACTCCAACATCTGGTTGAACACGAGCAGCCTGGCTCTGCCATCCATGCCCCCTGGGCTCCCCAGTCATCTACCACCCTTATTCCTTGTTCACTTTTCTTCCTTGCCCGCTGACTTCTCATCCCCTCCAGTTATGACTATCTGGAATCTCTTCAGGCTCCTGGGCTTACTGCATTCCTTCCAGGCTTCAGCCTCTGCTCCCCACCCTCCCCAAAGACCAGTTTTCACCTCTCCATCAGTACCACTGCATCTACATGCTCTGGGGCTGGGGAAGAAGCACAAACGAAAAAGACTACACAGGATTAAACTTACCCACTGCCTAATGCTGCAGGAGTCATCATGCTTAACTGCTTGGTCCAGATGATGATTGCACAGTCAGGTGACATGCAGTCACCAACAGACAGGGCTATACTCAAGATATATGGAATATTAGAGCAATTTAATAAACACTTGCCAAGTTATACACTTGATTCAGTTTTTCAAGAGCTTGTAATCTGATATAAGTTTCTCTAGGTACAGCCATATGTGCTATGTCAATGTGTACACTTCCTTTCCCCTTCCTCTGCTATTCTAAGTTTCAGAACCCAAGTGCTGAGTTGCTTTTAAATAAGCCAAAAAAGCACTTATCCTCCTGTTTTCATTAACACATTTACTTTCTCCCAATGTCTTTTTCAAAATGCCAATTCATTTTAGCCTAAACTTTCCGGAATAACTCAAACATACTCATAATGGCAAATTTCAGTATGACTAAGAAATAAGCTATTGAAAACAACAACTTAAAAGAAAATTAAGAAAAAACAAAAAACACCACAGGATAGATCTATTGCTGACATTGCTTGTGCCATGACCCACAAACACCCAGTGGGCCAGAATACGTGAACTATGTGATCATAGACAGATTGGGTAGTTCCTTAGTTATAAAGTTCTTCAGTCCAGAGAGCAGGAGGCTCAGAAGAGATCTTATTGCTCTCTATAACCTCCCAAAAGGAGGCTGGAGCAAGGTGGGGGTCAGCTTTTTCTCCCAGGTAACAAAAACAGGATGAGAGGGAATGGCCTCAAGTTGCACGGGAGAGGTTGGATATTTGGAAAAAATTCTTCTCAGAGAAGTGAGGCAGAGGCACAGACTGCTCAGAGATTTGGTGGAGTCACTGTCCCTGGAGGTGTCCAAGAGCCACGTGGATGTGGCACTGAAGGCCATGGTTGGTGGGCATGGTGAGGGCTGATGGTTGGACTGGGTTATCTCTGAGGTCTTTCCCTACCTTAGTGATTCTATGTAACCATACAACACAGCACATACATTTCTCCATTCTCTAGACATGTTAAATATGTATGAAGCTCCAATTTACGTCTTATAAACCTGCTTCTTTTGAATATGAAAGACTTGGAATTTACTTTTTTCAGTTCTAAGTATTGTAATACCCTTTTCCGTTGTTCTGTTTGCTGTGCTGCTTCAAAAAAACTAAGCAGGATATGAAGTATAGCCAGATTTCCGTATTCCCTCCGTACCCAAAATAAAATGCATGGAATTCAAAGGGCTCCCAAGTACAATATAAATTAAAGTTGAGTGGTACAGAAAAAATGTATTCCTCTTTCAGTACATCAGCAGAAAGTCATCACATTCCCAGTGAATCACCCAGCTAAGGGTATGATTATCTTGGTTATTTGCCTCTCGTTTTCAAAATATCCCCTTTTAGTGTAAGCACTTAAATGGCCTCCCTCTTTAATACTAAATAGTCTTTTTTACACATTATATATATATTTATACATATATATATATAGGGAGAAAAAGGAGATTATAGCCTGGAGTAGTTCATGCATTAAGAACAACCAAGCACATTCACATCACAGATGATAAGAAATTATGTGAAGACAAGGAAGGAAACCAAGTTATCTCCCTTTATTATCTCGATAAACAGTAATGCACCAGTACCAAAAAGACTGATATTTCCAGACTCCTGCTGTCTCTGTTTTCTACCCTATTTCCAGCTCTATTTGTGACTGCGGTGTCACAAAGCTATGATACGAAACAGCCTTAGTGAAGAATCAGCCAACAAACACGCATCCTTTGGCATCTGATTATCTGATGGAGAGCTGTAATGGACAGGATAAAATACTTGGGTAACATCTGGCAGCAAGCAAGCCAAGGAAGGCACTCCATTCGCAGCTTTCTTCTTGCTCCTGGACTCCCCTGCTTAGAAGAGCAATACGTTGTTTTACATTTTGTAAAGCGCTGAGCTGTGGTAAAACAACCTCCCATGAGACTTCGCATTTGTTAGCCTACAGCCCTGTAACAAGCACGGCTGAAGCAACCAGCTGCTGCGAGAGAGAGAAACCACATCCGTGGAATTTTAAATTTCACACACCAAAAATGACCCAGTCTTATATCAAAATACTCATCTGCTTTATTGCAAACTTCCACGTGTGCTGGTATTGCAGAGGTGGCATTCGGCTCTCACAGCATTACACAATATTCTGAAATACAGCTTGGGCCGCACCTCTCTCTATTTGGGACATCTCGCTACCATAGGCTCTGTGGATCGTTCACTCCTGGCTTTCAGCGTGTGTCTCAATAATAGCAAGAGAGTCACGCTCCTCCAAGAACTGCGTCTCAAACACTTCCACATTTGCTGCAGCAGCAACTGCAGTTAGTAATGACAAAGTGAAGTTTGTATATATGTGTGTGTATACATACACACATAAATGCACAAGAATAAAGCAACTGTAACAGTTACACAAAATGTAAGGAGTTCTGTTTTGCCCTTAGCACAAAGGAAACGGTAACAAGACAAATGACTGTCCAGCACAGCACTCTATGAGACCCACCCTGAAGGAGGAACATTTATGAAAACGTATGCAGGCAAGGATACACTGCCATTGACTGAAAACAAATGTCCCCAAATCCCTTCAGTAAGAATGAAGAGAAAGAGACTTCCAAGCCTCAGTGCAGTGCACCGTCCCCTACTATACCCAACAAAGAACGTTACAGAATATCTCAAGCTGGAAGGGACCCACAAGGATCATAGAGTCCAACTTCAGGTTCCACACAACACCAACAAAAATCAGACCAGGAATGAGAGTGTGTATGCCCTGCGGACTCCAGCACCGGGAGCTGTGCCCACCGCGCTGTGGTGCAGCCCCTTTCCCTGACCCCCAGCTGCCCTCCCCTGACGCAGCTCCATGCCGTTCCCTCGGGCCCTGTCGCTGTCACACAGAGCAGAGCTCAGCGCTGCCCCTCCGCTCCCTGTGAGGAGCTGTAGGCTATGACAGAGCCATCCCATCCACCATTTACTGAACTGAAGCTTATGTGAGGAAAGCAGTGCGAAACCTACACTGAAGCTTTCACGGGGTTATTTTCATCATAAAATACCACAGAAAGATGCTGAACACTAAGCAGTCTGCTGAGAAAACACACCACACGCTACTATAGAACAAACCAATAGGGCACATTTGAAGAAATCCAGAATAACCCCCAGAATAAAAACGACATACCAAGAAGAATGAAAACCGAGTCTTCAGATGGAATAAACTTAATGACTATATATGGTTACACACAGACCCAGAAAAGGATAATTGTGCCATTTGGTTTTACAGTCATTTAGAAAACAGCACTCGCTGCATTTCTCGTTGCTTGATACTCCAGCGCTGGCAAGGCCTGGCCATACCGTTACTGACACTGCCTCCATCGGTTTCCTGGGCCGCATAACCCGCAGAACACGTGCACAGCACCCGGCTGCAGGAGCCGCATTACTGTATGGGCGCGCACTGCATCTGCGTGGAAGCACAAAGCCCGGCACACCGGGGCAGGCCCGGCACCTGACTGCCATCCCGCACCCCCGATGCCCGCGTCAGACGCCAGAGAAATACTAGAGGCAAGGAAATCCACACGGGCACCACGGAGACACCACGGGGCCTGACTGTCAAGGGCCCGACGGACACCACGAGGGCTCCGCACCGCTCCCGCCATCGCTCACGGAGGGCGGAGGGCGCCCCGCGGCCAGAGCTGCGCGCTGCAGCTACTGCCACCGCCGCCTCTCCCTAGGCGCCCGCGCGGCGCTGCCCCTTTAAGGACCCCGCCGCCGCCTCCCCCTTTCCTCCTCCCCCTCCTCCTCCGCCCCCCGCCGCGCGCCCCCCCGCCCGCCCCCGCCTCTCCCCTCCCTGCGCGCGCCCGGCCCTCGCGCGCCCCCGTCGGCGCGCCCCCGCCGCAGCCACACAACGGCCGTAGCGGCAGCGGCGGCGTTTCCAGAAACTTCCTCGCTCCCCCCTCCCTCCCTCCTTCCCTCCCGCCCGCGCCTGCCCGCCGCCGCCGCCCCTGACCACCCTCGGGGCGAGCGGCGATGCGGGCGCCCCCTCCCCGCCGTGCCGTCTGCCGGGCCCGCTGTCCCCCCAATCTCCCCCGCCCCGCGGCGCGGCGGCGGAGTGGCTGGGCCCGGCGGGCGGCGGCGGCGGGTGCGCCGTGATGGATGGCTGGCGGGCTGGCTGGCTGGGAGCGGGTTTGAGTGACAGCGCTTACCTGGGTGCCAATCTTCGTCACACTGACAAGCGGCTGCAGCAATCGGGACCCGCACCGCCGCGACGCGCGTCACCGCGCACACCCACGCTCGGCCAATCGGCGCCCGCGCCGCCCGACACGACAGCACGCCGCGCATCACGCCTCATCAATATGCACCAAAGGGGGCGGGGCCGGGGGCGGAGCGGAGCACGCCCACCGCGGAGGAAGACGGGGAGGGGGGCGGGGCGGCCGCGTGCCACCGCCCTACGCCGGCGCGCCCTGGGCCTTGCTCATGAATATGCAATGAGAAGGAGGGGAAAAGGCGAGGCCGACTGGGAGGGAGATACCAAACGGCCGGGATGGGGCTGCGCAGCCTCCTCTGCTGGAGCCAGGTGTACGCCGTTCCCCTGAAGTGGTGTAAAGACGGGAGAGGTGGAGAAAAGGGGGTCTGTTGAAGCTGTACTTTATGTCATCGTGGCTTTGCCTTAGGGATGTTTAAGGAGTTTGTCTCACTGCTGCAGCAGAGGGATTGAGCTCACACCCTTCGGCATTCACACACACCGATTGGACTTGATAATCCTTATGGGTCTGTTCCAACTTGGGATATTCTATGATTCTGTGACTCTTCAGTGGGTTTATCCGTCCGTCCAGACCCTCGCGACACCACAGAAAGCCTTACTCAGAGGATGCACATTGCCAAGGGTCTGCCCTTGATTCTGAGATGTAGGCAGCAAAGCTCCTTCAGAGTGTTCAGCCCAGAACGGGCACAGCCTGTGCTACTGCTCTTCATCAAAGAAGAGCATCTGGAAATGCTCCCATATCTACAGTATCCCGTCCCCTTAATTTGCAGTGCCTACGGCCTTCAGGCCCATTGGTCTATCTTGCACTGTGTAATGCCTTTCTGTGCCAGGCCATTGAAGGAAGACTGCTAATAGGCTGGCAATAGGAACGGCTGCTGAAATATTCCTATGAGCCCGGCCTGCCTTCAGTCCACAACTGCTGTGCCCAAACCCTGCCCTGCTGACAGTCACTGTGGACCCCTCAGCATTCTCCCCACTGCACACACTGCTGCTGTTTGTCTGCTGGCAAAGTGGCTGCCTCACCCTCTGCCAGGCTGCCCTCAGCCCCACAGTCGTGTCTTTTCCAGCTGCTTCTCCCAGCATGGCCCAATCCACACGATTGTCTAGTGAGGACAGTCTAGTGAGCGCAGAGGCTAGTGAAGCTAGTGAGCACAGAGGGAACTTGTGCATCCAGTGGGGAGAGTGGGAAGGGAAAAGAGCTATGCTCATCCAGAGTGTTCACTTGTGTGAATTGGGTCTCAGCGTTCAAGGGAATGACTTAAATAAAAATAAAATAAAATAAAATAAAATAAAATAAAAAAATTAAATCCAACTCTTGGTTTCTCTTACAAGAGCCTCATTCTCCATTTCTGCTCTTGTGCCATGCCATGTCTCTAATAGAATTCCCGTGCCCTCGCTGACTCTTTCTGCCACAACTTTCATCTCTCATCATCCCTCTCTCATCACATTCACTGGTGACACATTCACCGCACGGTGCTTCACATTAACTGATGCCCATGTTCAGACCTGCCTTTTCCTCACAATTGATTCACCCCGCAAACCCTTTGTTCTCCATCCGCTTTGCCTGCGCTTCTGTGGACAGGAGTTCACCGACTTCTGCTGAGAAAGAACAGATTCAATTCAAACTAATTTACTTTCTAATTCCTTCTCCCAGCTGTCTTCAAAGCTTTGTTGGGTACCTTTCACAACTTGAATTCCCCTTCCTCCTTCTTCCCTTCTATTTCTGTTTGCCCTTCTATTTCAGCTGCTACTTTCTCTTCCCTAGCTCTCACCCCACAGGTGTAGGAATTCCTCATCTGCCATCTCCCCCTCTCCCCCGCAATCACAGAATCATAGAATTGCTTGTGTCGGAAGGGACTATAAAGACCATCCAGTTCCAACCACCTGCAGCGGGTAGGGCTACCAGCCACTAGATCGATTGCTCAGAGCCCCAGCAATCCTATCTCATGGTCTCCTTTGTGATTAAGTTTATTCTGTGCTGTATTCCCCTCAGTCGCTAATGTTTTCTGCAGTACAAATATACATTCCAACTCCCTCAATCCCAAAATCATGGCATTTCTCAAGCACCAGCCTCACTGCCTACACGTGTATGCCTTATGGTCAGCTAGCTTTATCACAGAATCATAGAATGGCCTGGGCTGAAAAGGACCACAGAGATCATCTAGTTTCAACACCCTGCTATGTACATGCTCACCAACCACTAGTCCAGGCTGCCCAGAACCACATCCAGCCTGGCCTGGGATGCCTCCAGGAATGGGGCATGACATGGCCATATGAACTTCATTAACCTAAAAGTAACTCTTGATCTAACCCATGCTTTCCCATTGACCATCTATAAATTCCCTGTTCACAGCTGTTGTGAAGAGGTCCCTGTTTTCCATTTCGCTTTCAGGTCTCTCCTTGAAGGCTCAGAAGCTAAGCTTGTTTTTAAGAAACATGTCAGCTGAATGATTCCAGAAGGTGAAGATTTAAGAAAGGCACTATGAATGAGAAGGCAACATTTGGAAAACAGGAGGAACTGGGAGGACAGGAGCAAGGAATGAAGAAGTAACTAAGAAGAGTAATTCAAAGGTGAACAAAAAAAAAAAAAACAACAAACAAAAGAGAAAATGAATCAGAGGAAAGGATAGGTAGCATTTTCTTTCTTTATTTCTAGTCATCCAAACATACTGTGTTGTCTTTCCTCAGTTTTCCAAAGATCCAATACACAGACTGAAGGCAGCTGTCAGGATGAAATTCTCCACACTGTGCATTTAGTACTACTGATGCTGTGAAATTCCACTGGTACAGGTGCATTCAAATAAGTGAGATGTTGACACTGCTACCTTTTTTTAATCTAAAAATGCAAAATCTATGTGCAAGGTTGAAGATGTCATTTAAATCCTTTGTAATTACAAATTACAGGTACATAAAAATTAGGTTGAGTATTATTCAGGGTGGAAAACGCAAGTAACAGAACACTCAGTTTCTCAAGCTGCTGTTCCTTTCTTCTTATTGGACATATTAAATACATTCCCTAAGTACAGCTCATTACTTAAAGCAAGTACGGATATGTTTGTATGGTTGTAGCCTTACTTGGTTATTGAGAACAGTAGCAGATCCCCACTCTCATACCAAATATTTGCAGACACTAAGCTGTTAACATCCTGTCTCACTGAATGAGAAAAGCACTCTCCAAATCTCTGCTCTGAAATATCCTTTCAGTCGCAATTTACCGATAGCAGGAATGCATAAATGTATCAGAGGGCAAAACTGGTTCCCACATACAGCTGCATGGTGGGTTAAGATTACTGTGGCTTCCTTTACTCATTTCCAAGTCCTAATTATTACAACCGTGTGCACAAAACAATATTTATATGCATTAACTTTCTTCAGAAAAAGGAGGTTTCTTTTTTTAGATACGTAGCATTGCTCCTGATTGTGCCCTTCTCAACTCTTTCATAATTAAGCTTTCAAGAGAAACATTCACATAGAGGTGAAGAGATGGATTCCCATGTAGGTAACAGCAATCTGCATTCATAACTTACTGAATAAAGACCACAGTTGCAGCAGTTGGAATAATCTAAGCAGAGCAGGGTTTTGGCCAGATTTCCATAAAAGTCAGGTGAGTTTTTAGGTGATAATCTCTTAACAATAGGAGGTCTCTACAGCAAACCAGTTTCTTCTTTCAACACCCTCAGGGAGAAAGTATGTAACAAGACATGTCAGCTACTTAGATGTCCTCTGGCTGTTTGGAGAGCATTCCAAAAAGCAAACTTTGTGTGCCCTGTTTGCATGCACAGCACATTCCCATCTTCAGCCACAACTTTACGCGGCATAGGAGGAGCCTGGGAAAAACATGCAACTTATTTTATGGTGGATATGGTTTTTAAGATTTTAAAGCTGAAATTAATGAGTTAACTCAGTCTAAATAAACGTCAAGCTTTGCTTGAACTAGATCATGGAGATCTGTGTAACTCAGCTGGGAACACTCCCTCTGGAGAAATTAAGAGCTCACGTCCCACAGCAGGGTTTGGGCTCAGACCAAGAGCTGGCACTGCAGTGCAGCACTTCTCCAAGGAGTTTCTGTGTCAGGATGGTGATGCCGTCCTTTTGGGAGTTATATTGTGCCACGCTTTAAAAACTCCTTTAAAACTTCCTTTAAAAAGGGAGAAGTGATAAATCCTGTATCTTATTTATATCTTATTCAACATTTTTCCTCTTCTTAAATCTAATCTGAATTTCCAGATCTGTACATTAATTGAATCACTGGCTGCATACTACTCACTCCATCTGTTTATATGGTTGAGTCACTGCATTACCAATATCTAACACGTTGCTTGGAAAGAATTTTAGGCAAGCTGGAGGATAAAACCCCAAAGCTCTCTAAGATAATGCTCCCTTCTGTACGTTCCGTAGTGCCATGCTCTACTCCGCTCACTTTCCACTATCAGGGATGTTAATTTGAACAAAATGCTATTTTAAGAAAAAGAGCTTATCCCTGAAGTACAGCGTATGCTTAAAAGCTGAAGAATGAACCATGATGTACAAAAACACTATTGCCACCCCTCAAGCAATGCTCTGCCCTGGGAATTGCACCAGGGGTTCCATGGTGATGGAACAAACATCTTTCACAATGCAACATATCTTTTTTTCCACTTGAGATGCTATGAACAGATTACCTTCTGAGTGCAAAGTGACTGCTTTTAACGATGCCAAAAGTTGACAGCATCTCATTGCTGGACTGCAAAGTTTCTTCCAAAATGTGTTACACTTAAAAAGACTTTCCTTCATTTATGTCACTGTGGACGGGTTCAGGGGATAGGGGGACAAAAAAAAAAAAAAAAAAAAGAAAAAAAAAAAAGAGCAGAAAAGCAAAATTCAGATACTGAGGTGGAACTGATGATACACATCTTTAAGAAAAATGTGAAAAGAGAACATTTGGTATGAATCCCACCATGGAGGGCAGTGAATGCATTCACTTTACTCTGGGAGTTGAGAAGCAGAGTGAAAATAAACTGAAATAAAAGAAAACCAGTGAGACTAGTTTTACCTTCCAGACCGGGGGCTAGATCCAACTCTGA